TCGACCGACGACGGCCAAAACTTGAAAATTGCAAAGTTTATCGACCATGGCCCATTAAAACACGTTGATTTTTACGAAACGAGTTTTCAGACGATCTCCGTACACTCTGAAGATATAAATAGAGACCGAACATCGAAGATAAAAGGTTAATTTTAATAGCAGCAGCAGATACACTTGTAGTAGAAATCTCGCGCTGTATCATGATAATCTGTAGACTCGAGAAACTTGAATACTACGGCCCCGACACCACCGAGGAAAAACAATAAGAAAAGAATCCGAAGACCTTTAACATCAGGTGCATCTATAAATAAATGCGCGCATGAAGCTGTGGACCTTCAAGATGCCTTTAAAACTTGTTAAATTACTATACACTGTTCGGCCAAGTATGCCACAAACTAAAAACAAAAGGCGAGGCTGGTGTATACAAGTTATATTAGTTTTTGCGCTAGAATAAAATTGGGACGATTTGTTTATTTGGGTTTCCATTATACAAATGCAGCTGTTACTGAAATTTACGTCTGTTTCCGAAGGGGTTGCCCCAAAATCACGGATACGTTACCAAATCCCACAGCAACATTCTTACATTATTCTATTTGCAATTGTGGGTGAACGATTGCACTTCAAACAACAAGAAGGAAATTAATGTGAAATGATTATTGTAAAATCCCCTAATCCTGGACCGAGTAGATCCATGACGCGACTAATTTTCACCAAGCTTGAATTGGATTACCGGTTGAAAATTAATTTCGAAGAATGGTTGACGTAATTTGATTCAGCCTTTGTAATTTAGGGTTGTAACAGCAAACAGAAACTTGAATTAATTGTCTTTAATCTTTTTACCGGTAGCCGTTTTGTTCATAATTTTGTTCACACTTTATCTAAACAACTTAGGTGCACGATTTTGATTAATACACTAGCTTTTTAATCTTAACTAGCTACTCTAAATATAGCTCAATTAAACGCTTTGCATCTTGGACCCTAACGCCTTCTTGGTAATCATTTATTTTTACGCGAAAAAACGTAGCTCCAAGAATACAACGATTGAAATTGTTCGCTTGCGCTTTAAAACAAATTCGCGCAATATTTGCGGTTACAAATCACCACGCACCACGCAATGAAGTCCCCATTTTTCACACTTACACTTACCACACTTACCACTTTATATTGGTTTTAGCATGTACCAGTATCTCGACTTCGGTAATTATTTTTGCCCTTGCAAGAACGTTTCACGTACAGTACTGCGGTTAATAATTCTTTCCTATCCTTGTATGACACGAACTCGTTTAATTTCCAACTTTTCGCGATCTAAAATCGCATGGAACTTGTATCGTTTCACTTTCACGGTTCAATTACGAATTAATTTTACGCAATGTAAAATTGGCACACACAAGTAACGTGGTGTTGCTTGCAAAGTTCGGCTTATATCCTTCTCTCCCACCGAATCTTTTCTAATCTATAAAGTTCTGAAATGGAACCACCGCAACCGAAGTGTACTCTGTTTTTTATACACGCAAAGGTATAGCCTCTCTCAGGCTTTGTGGCGATGGTTTCTAGTGGCGGAAACACTGTAACGTTTCGGCTCTTATCTGCATGAACACTGTTTTCTTATCTTAACGCGCTTTATTTCTCGAATATGAGTTCTGTTCGCTTCCATTATGGAGCGGCACACGTATCAAACTTCCTATATCAGCAAATGTGTAATTTTAACGAAAAATCTGTAAAGTTTTAAGGTATGGCGAGAACTAATTTTCTTAAACAGTCGTATTTTCCAGCCGGCTAGCGCTCTCGGGTGATGACGTTCAAAATTAAAACTTCTTTCATTAATTTCTTGTCTTCTGATGACAAAAAAATCCGGGACCAGTCCCTAGAGCTGGGCAGAATACTTTCAAAAAGTATTTGAATACTAAATAGTAAATACTTTACACAAATCAAAGGTATTTGAATACTAAATACTTTTACGTCCAGCACAAGCGAACACTAGATACAGATACATAAAAAGTATTCAAATACTTTAAAAAATAAGTATTCAAATACTTTAGAATGTATTCGAATACTTTCAAAAGTATTCTAATACTGTCAAAGGTATTCGAATACTATAAAAAGTATTCCAATACTTTGAAAAGTATTCGAATACAGTAAAAAGTATTCAAATACTTCGAAATTTTTCAAACAGTTCCAAGATTGGGCTACTATTTCAAAAGTTACAGCCCTTTGAATTTTCTTTCGAAATTGGTTTCTAGTCTATAACTTTTGATTGAGAAGTCTGATCGAAAAAGTACGAATTGTTTGGATTCTACGCACCAAAATTAATAAGAAAAAGTGTTTTCCCGAGAAATTTTGGTGTAGTCGATTTTTGGTAAAAAAAAAGGAAGGTTAAGTATTCAAATACTTCTCAAAGTATTCAAATACCTTGCGAAGTATTCGAATACTAAATATTTGTGAAAGTATTTGAGTTACAAATACAAATACTGCTTCCATAAAAGTATTTAATTACAAAGTATTTGAATACTTTAAAGGATTTGAATACTAAAAACTATCTACAAAATCGAATACTGCCCAGCTCTGCCAGTCCCTCAATTAAGCGCGCTTCATTTGACACTAGACACAATCAAATCAAATAATTATACTCAACTAAATAGGGAAACTAAAATCGACTAATATGTACCTAACTAACAGAGATGAGATCCTAAAATACGTTCCCCTGCTTCCCCATGCCGAGGGCTGTGGAATGCTATAAAAATAATTGTCATATCTCTACGGGAACAGGGCTACAAACGGTAAATTAGTTACAGTATCTGTGATTTCCTTATTGGCGGCTAAAACGGCGCTACAAATTAAAGTTATTACCTACTTTTACCTTCTATTTCCAACTCCTATAAAATTCATCTGCGGAACAGTTAGACAAGGACAACAAAGCAAAACGGGTTACTTAATGTAATTAAGCCCCCTCCACCCAGGTACGATCATTAAATTGATATAAATGGCTAGAGCGAACCCTAATTAAGCGTTGTCGACAAAAAAATTTGCGGGAGAAGCCCTAAATTTTCCACAATTTTAATACATAATTTCGTCAAATTGTGAAGTTGTTACTTATATTTCATGATTAGTTTTAAGTTGGTAGGAGTGTGTATGAGTATGATATTTTTCCACGATTTCATAAACGTTAAAAAATGATGTGTAATCATACATGTGTTTCTAATTATACCATAATAGTAGTAAGGAGTTCTCTACATGTTTTACATAATTCATGTGTACATTAAGATGTTCCTTAACCCTTTTAAGTGATGAGGCGATCGATGCTGGTCACCGGCTAATACAGAAAAGGCGTTTGAAGTTAATCGGCGGTCGCTAACAAAGAGGCGATCTATGGAAGATGCGAGAGATGTCCCTTCATCTTTTTTCGAGTGATGACGCGATCGATTGCCCGTTCGCACCTCCGGATGCAGTATGGAGTCTATGGACTAAATGCCTCTCTTACTAATTTACGCCATTCTTCGATAACTTTATCCTTGTTCCTCGCCGCAATGACGCCAAACTGGCATATGATTGAATGAAACACAACATAATCTCCTTGTGCTTCTTGGCAAGCATGCACTGTATATCCATAAGCACCGTATTGTATCTGGAGGTGCCAAAGTGCTATAGTCACCGGCTGATACAGAAAAGGCGAAAGATCGACTGATAAAGTTCCCCGTCTCAATAAACATATTATTCGATTAAACGCCAAAAACAAAAAGATCCCCTCTAAACAACGGCTTCCACTTTCCACTCTGTCGGTTTATACCTTCGATACGTTCAAACAAATTAAAATTCTTTCCATGCGCCTTAAAAATACGGAACTGGTTTCAAAATTCCAGATAATTAAGAGCACTTTTTTAGATAAGGCCCAGCGTAATCGAACGCGTTTTCTGCAACTCATTTAAATGTCAGTCGTTAATTATGCTTACTCAATTGAGCGCTTTCCAACTCTAATATTCGTTAATCCAATTAACACCTGTTTAATCGAAATTTAAGTGAAATCGGTTTTTTTATCCTGGGTTTATTTAACACATGGAATCTGAAATCGGTGGTTAATTGCCTAATAAATGAAGCTGAAATTTTAAAATATTAAATCCGCGTCATTTTCCCAATGTCAGGTGCTGTCGGATGGTACAACACCAATTTACATATCCCTACGGGAACTATTTAAAAAGGGATAAATTAAAACAGCGACTACGGAAAACTTCCTTTTCGCTGTTAATTCCGATTCCTAAAACAAAACTAAATATGTTCAGAGCTGCATAATAAAGCGCTTCCACGTTGAGTCCATATACCGGGTGTTCCTCGACGCGGGTCTGAAAATAGGTATCTTTGTTACAACTCGAAAATTCTGCCACGAAATTGATCTCAATGTGATGATGATGAGCCTATTTCGCTTTCACTACGAACGTAAATTTATTTGGTGAGGGGCAGCATTTGCAAAACAATATCGTAATGGACTCAGTGGCACCCTGTATAAGTGCCTTATCTGTGAAAGCTGTTTAAAACACAAGTAATGTCTTCTTCACAAAAAAAGATGATCTCAGTTCCAATAGTCATATCTTCAGTGTAAGATAGGACCCCATGTTTTACCCTGAGGTACACCTGAAACTGGATGATTGGCATTTCAATTTAAAGATTCTTCCAGACAAATGAAAACCAAAGAGTTAATAATCTCTGAAAACTTCTGCCAGTCCACAAAAGCTTGAGTAACGTGCAAGGGCTGGGGGGAGGGAGGGGTAAGACATGCCCGGCCCGGATATCAGGTTGAAGGCACTACAAATTTACCTTTAATTCTGTAAATCCCTTAACGATTGGATAATTAGCATATGCAAATGTTTGAAATAATATTCTCCTGCATTTCGAATTACCGTCCTTTTATACTGCACCGTGAATAAATTAATGGCGCGTTTTTTTAAGTAGGTGCATCTCAAGGTCCGGTTCAATGTTCTTCGATAAAATATAAAATGCAAATAAACCGTAGAATTTTATAACTATTATAACAACAAAAACAAACTCGTGTCGCAATTCAACAAATTAAATTAGTCCGTGACAGATGCAGTTTTTCTGAGATAAAAGTCGAACGGCGCGGCGATTCGTTCCTTATTGGGATAATAATCAAAAAAGGAAGTGGATGAAACTTGGCGCCGTATTACGCGACTGTCTAATAAAGGAGAATGGGTGTGTTTCTTCGCGTAATTATAAATGAGCACTTCTGTGCCGTTTTTTTAAGCTAAAAATCTTTGGAAACGTCATCGACCTTTTCATTTAATGTTTGTAGTATTTGTGCTTGTGATTTGCGTTCGCTTGATGTTTATGACCGTGCTCGTGTTTGTGACTGTGCTTCCCCCACTCCTCGTGCTTGTGCTCGTGTCCATGGTCGTGCCCGTGTTTGTGCTCTTGGTGATGGTCATGGCTGTGCTTGTGGCCATGGTTATTCTCCTCGTGATGATCGTGCGCATGCTTTTGCTGATGATCGTGCTTGTGCTCATGGATTTGCTCATGCTTGTGCATGTGCCCCTGTTTATGCTGATGGTCGTGAACGTGCTCGTGCTTGTGGTAATGAATATCGCCATTCTTCTTCTGCACCTCGATCTGAAACCAATAACTTGCCCTTTAGAAAACAAGCGCAACCCTTACGTGAGGCTCCTGGTAATATCGACTCAGCCCCATTGGCTGTGTTTCTGACCTATCAATGCCTTGATAGTTCTGAGGCTGCCCAAAGAACTGGTCGTGAATTCGTAGGTACCGCTCGAGATTCATTTCGCCACCATCAGCTTGTAACCCAAAGGCTAGGCACACCAGAACCTGAAAACAATGACCTCAGTCTCATCACCCCCACAATCTCACCCCATACCAAAGTCCACATTTTCCCTCGCGCTGTTAAACAAACAACTGATTGATTACATGTCAAATGTAAGCTTATATAGTAAGATAACAATTAGAATTCCTTTCACAAGATTGATTTTAATTGTAATATTTACATATAATCGAAACTGAATATTTTAATTAATATGAATTCCGCGAAGATTAATGGATCTGGTGAATGAAGAACATTAATTACGTAGAAAGTTATAAAAAACCGATTCTCTTTTATGAATAATCAATTTCGACAGGAAAAGACTGGTTTTCATGTTGAGGCTGCCGATAAAATTATGCAAAAAGACATCCCAGTGTAATAACCCTTTTTCTTCATACTTAGCGGGCGATTTATTAAAAAGATCTTAACACGTCGTTTCTATTGAACTTCTATTGAGATTTATCGATATCGGTGGAGGGCAATAAAGATTTTATTGCGCTTCGTAATGTTACAATAAATTGATTTTAATAACGATTACTTAGCTAATTGCTGAATTACGATTTCTTTATGGAATACGCAGACAAAGTTGCATCCCTATTCTTAAATACATTGTAAGTAAATAGGTTCATCCTGCTTTTATCATATTTATATATTTGTTTAAACAAAACCCCAATCAGGAAAACAGCGCAAACACACAAGGAAATCTGCCAAATGAAAGACTTACACATAATGTGACTTGAAATCTGTTTCCAGTACTCCCAATTTTTGTGTCTTGACCCCAAGGTTCTAAAATTTCAGCCGCCCTTATTCTTATCCTGAATGCTTTGGCTCTTCTCTATATGTATTGTCGCCCTCTATCACCCAACATGTTTCCATTCATTATTCTCCATCTTTATCTGTTGCTGTTCATCATTAAATCTCTATTCTAGAGTTTATTTTTGCTCCCAATATAACCCTTTTTCTTTCTTAGATTTTTTCCCTGTGTTTATAAATCCTTGTCACTCTCATCCTTTTTCTCCCACCTCCATCTTTCTCTATTTCTTTTATGCCCTTCGTCTCGTCTATTCCTTTTCCCCATTTTTTACTGTTGTTATTATATCACGTTTTGCTCCCTTTTTTATCCCTGGTTGTGAATTGGTTTTCCCATGTGAACTATGTTATTCACGTTTCCAGTTTTTCTTTTTGCTTTTGTTATTGCTCTTTCTTTTTCAACATTTGTTTATTCACTGGAATAATTTACCAAGGTTCTTCAATATGAGCATGTTAATTTTACACTTATAATCTCAGGGTTTTAACAGTTAGCAAAAGCAGTAATTATGGATTAGAGAGAGAGATTAGAATCTCATTATCGGCGCATACAAATATGATAGGTTTCACAAATTTGGTTACACAAGTTGTTTTTTTTTATCGCAATCGCAATCACTACTCCAAATCTAAACGCAATGAACGTTCCGCACCTTGGACCACAACACTTTCGTGGTAAAGTTTATTTAAGTGCTATCACGCTAATGCAATAACACGAAAATCTTCTCTTATGTAAATACGCCTCTTTATATTAGTTTTACTTAAAGGCAATTCGGAATGGATTTAAATGCACCCACGACAATAGTTTCGTCGAAATGGTAGCACAGTTTTCTATTGTAATGCGGGATTTAACTTCAACCTTCATGGTAAAAAATCACGTGCGATATGTCGATACGCGGCGGTTTAAAATCTTTCGTATATCTCGATTATACGAATTCGTCTTGCCACTTTCAGTTAAATTGAAACGTTACGCGATCTAAAATGCCGCGTTCGACTTACTAAGTTCCTTCTCTCCAATTTTTACTGATGTCTTCGCTGAGCTCGGATACCGTAACAACCCTAACGCAAAACAAGATTTAACTACGTTTTTTGTACATGCGAAGGTGTAGCAGAAAAGTCGCCCCTCATGGTCCGTCAGAGCCGTTCTTCCCATTCTCTAGAATTTTAGTCTTTTCTTTTTTCACCTATTACAAAAAGGTTCTCCTCTTCAACAGATCAGTGAAATTCGCTGTTATCTGCCTACGTTCTAAACTTGCTATTCCTTAATCCGGGCCTGTTTCTTTTTCTATTTATTTCATGTTATCGTTATCATGTGATACCATAAGCCTCTGTGCTCTCATAAACATAGAAATAGGTAAGAAGGGCATTCGGACATTGCAGACAGCATGAAGCTCTATGAACTGGTCAAATGAGGAACCAAGCGGAAGCCAATAGGGCCGGATTCCTTCTGTGGACTGCACAAAAAACGCATAAAAGACGCCCTAAACCAATGGGAGGAGATGAATGGGATCCAAAACTGGCAGAGGGTACAAGGACAACAGGCCAAAAAGCTAAGGAAGCTTAATTTTCGTCATAATCGATATTTTTGCTACCGATACGGTGGAATTTAGTTGCTTCAAACTCTTTCCCAAATTTTACCAGGAATCGTAATGCCGAGCTAGTATTTGTAACCCAATAGCACCAATTAAGAAGACAAAATATATAAATTAAATCCCAAACATCTCGGCTCGAGATGCTTCCAAATCCCATGAAGAAACAATGTTTCACGGAAATTAAACGACGCAAAAAACGCGGCACATCTACATCGCAGTTGACAAATTTATTTTTTGAATTTCCACCAAGTAAACCAGTTCAACCCGCTTTTTTCATACTCTGCAATTTATATGGTACTTGAGGTACTCTTAGCAGTATCAAAATTTCTAATTTTACATATTGTCCAGGCTAAATAGCTCTAAATTAATTTATTTCCAAAAAAATTAGTTACCGAGCGAAAAACAGCTGAATTTTTCCGCGGGTGAAATCACGGGGGTTGAAAGGGGTGAAAAGTGGTGTTTTGAAAATTGTGGTAAAACTATTAACGAAAATGTTAAATACAAAAGTTATTGAGATTAAAAAATGAGCAACTTTTGTATCTACACTATTTTCACATAACCTCCAATTTTCCTAGGAAAACCGGAAAAACTGTTTTTTTTCGTTTTTTATTCTTATTTTTGCGAAAAAATATCGTAGGGTTTTGAAATTTGGAGGAAACATACCTTGTTTTATGATAAAAAAGGAGATAATTTTTTGGGCCCGTAAAGTTGAACCGTTTCCAAGATTTCACGATTTCTGAAATAAATCACCTCTTTTTCAAGGGGATGAAAAATATACGTTTTTCATCGTACAGAGGTGAGCAGGGTAACAAAATTTTCTCCTTTTTTATCCTAAAACAAGCTATGTTTCCTCCATATTTCAAACTGCTATGACTTTGTTTCGCAAAAATAAGAATAAAAAACGAAAAAAACAGTTTTTCTGGTTTTTCTAGGAAAATTGGAGGTTATGTGAAAATAGTGTAGATACAAAAGTTGCTCATTTTTTTAATCTTTATAACTTTTACATTGAACATTTTCGTCTAAAATTAATAGTTTTGCCACAATTTGCATAACACCGCTTTCCACCCTTTTCAACCCCCGTGATTTCACCCGCGGTAAAATTCAGCTGTTTTAATTATTTTTTCCCAATTTCTATTCATTTCATCTGCCTGAAAAACCCAGTTTCGCCCGGTAACTAATTTTTTTAATATAAAAATATTATATAGCCTGGACTAATAGGAATCATTATTTTGTAGAAGCGAAAAACGAGCAAAAACACAAGAAGAGCAAAAACTAAAGACAAACGTGCAAAAGACAAACGAAACAATAAAGTCATATAGGCTAACGGACAAGGGAACGGCAAGTGTATAATGTGGGAGAATTGAGATATGGAGCTAAAGGTAAGAGATATCGATCAAGAATGGGAGAAGATGAATGTTGAACAAATGTGGCAAAAATTTAAAGAAATAGTACTACCAACAGCAGTCGAAGCGTGAAAAATAAAAACAGAACACAAACAAGATGGTGGAAGTTCAGAAAAAGAAAGGAAAATAGAAACAGTATTTGAGTAGAAAAACTGCTGAAACCTATTCCGAATATAAACAAGAACAACAACGAGTGAAAGTAAAACTCATGGTAATAGAAGCAAAACAAAAGGCCTGGGATGAATTTGGAAACAGAGTAGAAGAAAATAAGCACAGTAGGTGATCAAAAACTATTTGTAAAGTACTTAAGAGCTTGAGGAAACCTAACAACTATACGTCAAAGTTCATCAAAGAAAAGGACAACAAAATAATTACAGACGAGCATGGATTATGAAGAGACGGGATTAGTATTTTCAAGAATTATTGAACAATAAACAGAAATTGAAGCAACTTCTGACGAAAAATATCCAAAAATTACTTAGACAGAGAGATAACCCAATAAAAGTGGAGTGAAAAGAATGGAAAAGTAACAGGGCACGATAGAATAACGCCTTTTCGTGATTGGAATTTAAAAAAATTTTCTCAAAATCGGTTAGGGCATACCCGAAAACCTATTAAGACGTGCCACCCATCTTTGTAACTGTTATGGTTGCTGAGAACAAAATCAAAGAAGAAATCCAAATTTCACCACTTCTTTGGGGGTGGTTCCTAAACTAAACACGTTGGACCCTCGGTTTATTTGGAAAAAGTGCTTGTCTTGATCCCCTCTATCACCCAATTTTTTTTACATGCAGTTATGTAACACCCTGTATACATCCACATACAGAGATAAACGTGTCCTCCAGTGTTGTGTTTTCTGTTTATTATTGGAAAGTGAAGAGAAAACTGTTGGGCAATTGGCAACTACTCTTCGTCTCTTATTGTTCAATTAGATACGTACAACGCCAATGAAGATATTATCACTGGACGCTCTTGAGCTACATTTTAGAATGTCAGACCAAATCTATATCTACCAAAGCGATTCAGTTGAAGGTCACAGTTTTTTATCGAAACAATTTTTATAGGAGACCATCGATGGACCTCGGCGGCGTTCATGTCACTTTGAAGTTGTAATCAACCTGTCTTGCCGCCTACCGTACTTTCAAAGAGCAACTTTTTCGAGATTATAATAACAGAGAGCACCGTCCGTTTGAAATTTTGATACACGGAAAATTGGCGTGGACAGGTTCAATGAGAAATTTCTCAGTCGAAGGGTGGTTGAGCAGGTTTCAAACAAGTTAGATGTTATTGACATTTTTCTCTTCGAAGTCATTGTTCTCATTTAAATAAACGGTAGCCGTAACAAATCTTTAATAACCCCATCAATTAGGACAAACGTAACAGTGCAAAAAAAGAATGATTAGAATTTGTGATCGTAGCGCTTATGGCCGTGCTCGTGCCCGTGATGGCTGTGGGTCTGATGCTGGTGCTTGTGACCATGGTGATGGTCGTGTTTGTGCTTCTGTTCGTGTCCATGTTTGTGCTTGTGGTGGTGGTCGTGTTTGTGCTGCTGGTGGTGGTCGTGCTTGTGTTCGTGTCCGTGTTTGTGTTCGGAATGGTGGTCGTGTTTATGTTGCTGTTGATGGCTGTGTTTGTGCTGGTGTTGGTTTTTATGCATGTGAGCGTGCTCCTGTTTGTGCTCGTGCTTGTGAATGTGTTTGTGTTCGTGGTAGTGCACTTCCGCGTGGGAGTCTTCCGATTGATGGCCGTGGTGTTGAAAACCGGAAACGTCAAACGCTGGTACTTTGCGTTGATAGTGCTCGCTTTCAATGGTTTCGATGTGACCCGGGCCCAAAAGGTTCACAGAGTGCGATTTTCTGTAATTACCACCACCGTACAATCCGTCGGAGTCCTCCATCTGACCGTATCGAGCCTGAATGTCATTGTCCAGTTTTTGCGGTTTCAGCAGATTTTCATAAAAGTTTCGCTGAAACAGTTTTGCCAACGTCGACCGATCCAGAAACTGCTGTGGATCTTGTCTGACCTGGTGCTGCAGTTCGTATGGTATAGTTGTATAACGAAGCGGAGTGTCGTATTTGTCGTGAAATTGCGGTCTTGGTTCACCTTCCATCCCCAAAGTAATCACTAACAGAATGGTAAAAATCTGGAAAGTATTAATTGAGCAATCATCAAACTTGTCGACGATCCACTTACCCAAGTAATCATCACTTACTGTTTTGGAACACTTTAGACAAACTGCGTTGCAAAAAATGCATTTTTGCAGTTTTATAGGAAAAGTAAGAAACTTTCCCTCATACTCATTATCAGGCATTTTACGCCCGAATTCTCTATTAGTTACTTGTGCGTATAAAAATGTGCGTGTTTAGATTAATCATGCGATTATATGCAATTTTTCTTTTGCAGACAAGCTGCAGTTCCTCCGCCACCACCCGGCGCGACCGGACACTTACCTGCAGGAAAATTAAAATCAGAGGTGCGTATTGCTTTACTTTAGTCATCTTGTGGGTAACATTCCACAACCTGTCAACGTTCAGACTCTAAATATGTAATGCTAATAATTTAGTCCATTGTTACAGGTCACATATGAGTACTTTATAACGTAATCATATGACTCTACCCACATTTAGATTTAAATGCAATGAGTCACGTGGCGCTCTATGCAACTGTCAACCCATTAGCGACACTTGCATTAAATTGTTCGTCCAATTCAATAACCGAATTTGTGCACGTATTGTGCTGCTTTGTGCTTTGTGGGAGAATATGACAACTAGGCCAGTTATAATAGACAATTTTTGTGCCAAACATTGCAATAAATACTGTAAACCTTAGGGGCTATCTAGAGCAGTGGTTTTCAAAGTGGGTGCCGTAAGTAATTCATAAGGGTGTCGCGAAATTTTTAAATACATAATTAACTTAACAAGTATAAATTGTACACAACTCTTGTGCAGATAAAGGGCATTTTTTATCCGAAATAGCTTTTGCTTTGACATCACCAATGGATAAGAGGTCGAGGAGGAGGGCTATGGTTGGTAGAAATTAATTCCTTTCGTTGAGACCTTTCATTAGAGTACCATGAAGGATAAAACTAGTTCCACTCCCCCCCCCCCCTCTCAGGCTCCGTCGCTCACTGATCTCGAAAATGAGTCGCACAGGAAAGTTATAGTTTGTACAAACCAAATTATTTCGTTGAGACTTTTCATTAGAATACCATGAAGGGCAGAATATGCGTTTACCCCCTCCCGACTACCCATTTTCTAAAGTTTAACTTGGCACCACTAAAGGCATGCGTATGCAAAATCTGAGACCAATTGGTTGTCGTATGTAAAATGTACGTTTTACTTTCAAAAACAGCATCTCAGGAAATAATTCGTGAGGGGGGGGGGGGCTTTTAGACAGCGAAATTTGATAGCCGTCTGGCACACCTTCAATGTATATGCTACCTACTGCAAGAAATTCCAGGACTTTAGGACCATTCCCCTAGAAGTAGTTCGAAACGGCAGAAGTGGGTCCGGACGGACGGACAAAACGCAAACAATAGCACATTTTTTTTAATTCTTAAAAAATGCGCTAAAAAATGAATATTCGTTTTTTATTACAATTCTGTTTTTCAGTTTCTATTTTATTTATTTCTATGGTTCATAATTTATTAATCAATCATATGCCGGTATTGCATTACGTCTCACTTTCTCACTCTTATAACTCCCACTTTCAATATGTCTTTTCAACTAATCTTGTTAAGTATGTCTAAAATGGCACTTCTCTCTCACAATCCTTCGCTCCCTTCTCTTTACCGCGAACTATTATAGAAAAAAAAACCTCGCTCGGGGGGTTCAAACCCGCGTCATCATAATCGAAAGGCGGCAGTCTTGCACTTGCAGTTTGCGCTATGCACCAGCCTATTTAATCTTAAATAACGCTTATTAAGCGACAAGCTAATACGTAAATATAATTAACAATAATATTAAAATCATTTTATTTATTCCGAAACTTTAAATGCGTATATTAGTCAATTTCAAAGACACATCAACGATTTTAATGCCACATTTCCTTTTAAATGGACAAATGCGCTTTAAACAATTGTGAGCCAGGCGAGCGAGTCGAGCTCGCCGCGGCTGCCGAGTTTTACGTACGAGATTATTTTACTCCCGTCCAAAACAAGTCACCCAGAGAAAAATTAACCAAGGAACAAAATGCAAATCCCACCAGGACTAGGAGCATCAGTTCACATTATCGCCAGATTCCTCCAATTGAAATAGTAACGTTTGTTTTAAATGTATTTGTGTTTAAAAAAAGCTAACTTACAAAATTTATTTTTTTAAAGATTTCTCATCCTTCATATCTTTTCTTGTAAAAAGAATCAAAAAAATAATAATACTTAGGGGTGCCGCGAATTTTGTTTCATTTTAGTGTGCCGCCAGAAAAAAAGTTTAAGAGACACTGATCTAGAGAGTATAAATCTCTATTTGCAACCCCCAGAAACGTGAGCCAGCCGATATACAGGGTGAAACTCTAGAAAATTTTGGACATTTTTCAGTTTCTCGCAAAGAAAAGATGTAAATGAGTGTTCTGAGGAGGAATGAGCACTTTTAAATTACCTAAAAGATGAGGTATATACGGGCTCTGTAACCTAATTAGTTCCTGACAAAAAAAGTGAAAATTTTTCCTTTTGTTATAACTTTTTACCGTAATATTGCCATAAAAGAAATTCAGCTCATAATGTGTTTTATGCAAGAAAATTGGGAAGCATTCGGGAACGCTCGAGTTTGCTATATAAGCAAATCGAATTGCGTTTCATGGCAGTTCCAATTTCAACGCCGAAGTAATAAATAGTTTTCGCCGTTATAAATTGTGTATATGTGAGTGATAATATAATATTTTGACTGTTATAAATTAATTCATTTCAAAACTGTTATGAATTTGTTGCGAATTAATTGTAAATCACGTAATCAAATTTACCTAAAAAAACCTGCGTATAAAACTGTTAATTCCATTCTCTTTTGTGTTATAGTTGCGTCAATTCTTCTCTTTGTTTTCTTCTACTACACTACGACTTCTTCAGAATATTCCGTTTATTCACATTTTTCAAAATTTTTAAATTTTTCGCCTTGGGCCCTTCGGATACTTGTATTTTGTAAGATGCATCAGATCCTTGACTTCTTGCATTTCATCGGATACATCAGACTTTTCGTATTCTTCACACTCTTGCGGTTCTTCAGAGTCGTTACCTGCTTCAGATTGTTCAAATACATCTGATTAGGATTCTGGCATTTTTCCGCTTCTTACAATCCTGTAGATCCATTATACGAGTATTCTTAAAATTCGTTGAGTTTCTCTTGAGTCTTCTAATTCTTCGATTTTTCGCATACTTCAAATCCGACAGTCCCTTGTAATTCTTCAGATTGAACTATACAGTTTCTTTATGTTCGGAGGACCTTTCCAGTACTGCTGAAGCTTCGTATTCTCCAGCTTATTCGAATTATTCCGATTCTTCATTCTTTGGTAGTCCCTATATTTTTGATTTTTTGGATTCGTCCACACCTTTCGTTGGATTCTTATGGTTCTTTACTTTCAGATTTTTCGGATTACTCGAATTGTTTCGATTCTTTGTAGTGGTGTATTGTAAGGGTCCTCACGTTAAAGCGCCATTCCTGTGTGTCATTTTGCTCACATATACATACATTGACTTAACTCCTTAAAACAACATGGGAATTATGTCTAAAGAACAAATTCAAATTTGGTAATAAATGGTCCTTAATTATACCGAAATTGTACCTTATCACTGTTGTACTTCATTCAGTCAATGTGGATAGCTCGAAAATGGCTTGGCTGCCATATGCTTGATATGCCGACGCGGCAATGTCTCCGGAGTATGGTCGCCAAATGGCTGATATGCTGACGTGTAATTATTTAGAACTTGGTGGATTGCGAACCTTAACTAATAATGAAGACTTAATCGGCTACCAGCACACGTGGTTTACCGCTAGCATCGTGTTTATGGCATGCAAATCCACCAGACGTTTTTGATCTCTCTTGCTTCTCGACAAGATGCGGTCGGCGATGGTAAGCTCCAGGTAACTCGAATGGAGAACTGCGGTCCCAGGAATTCTAAAGGGAAAGCGGTGGGTAATTTCCCTAAGCGGGAACAGTAAATAATCGGATTTGGTAGTGGTTTCTACGGGAAAATAAATGCAGGAAGCGAGACAAGTCCCCCCTTTCTTATAATTAATGTAACGGAAAGCAGCAAAAAGCTTACCTTGCAATTAACGAAGCGGTAGGAATTACTTTGTAAGAAAAAGCGAAAGCTATAGATACGGTGCTGTATACTTAATGCAAATACAAAAATTAGACGGTCAGAATGCAAAATAAAATTTAATACGGTACTTACAAAACGTAACAGGCGAAAGTGCAAAAGGCAGAAAGGTTTAAATACGGTTAAAACACCAAAAGCACCAAATGAAAAGGCGAAAGATTTAACGTTTCGGTTATACTTAAGTTTCGGTTAACCACTAAATGCAAAAGACCCTCTTTAAATTAAGCGTTTATCCAAAAGTCGGCTATGCCATGGGGTGAACGACGGTTTTTTCAACCGACACAGCATATTTGGTTATCTACATCCAAAAATTACAACTTCTTTAGTTAATTACGTCCTTCCCAGACGTTTTAAAAGTACGGGACCAGTGCCAAAATTCAATTTTTTTAAGGGCGCACTTAACGGATATGATCTCGATTTAATCGAAGGCTTTCAACTAATTACGTTAATTATACTTATCCAAAAGTTGGAATAAAATTGTTTGACTTATATGTTAAAAGATCCATAGGTACTAAATTTTGGCAATTTCGTTAGATCTTAGGGTAGAATCCTTGAAAAAGGGCATACTCAATAACCTATGTAAAGATGTTAATTAGGTACATCCCCTTATGTTTATAATTGTATTCTTCTTTTTGGATGCTTCAATGACAGTGTGACCATTTAAAAAACATTGCTAATTTTTTGAATTTTTCAAAATCTTTTGATTCTTCGCCTTGGGCGCTTCGGGTGATCGAAATTCTTCCAACGCATCATGTTCCTGGTATTCTGTTTCTTCGGATTCTTCCTATTCTCTTTCTCTTCCGATTCTTCACACTTAAAATTGGTTGAGCTTCTTTTGTTTCCTTGAATTCTTATATTTTGTAAAAAGATAGCCACTATGACAATCTTATGAGTTATGACGTAATATAGGCACTATTTCCGTTCTTGTACTTGGGGGAACTTAATGCACGTTTAGTAATCACTTTTTTTTAATTTAAAAACGATAGGCCAGTTTTCTAGACGGTTTCATATATTTATTGTTTTTCTTAGATTTCAGATCGTAGAGTGGAACCACCCCTTTGCGTACAAAACGCAATGCTTACGAAAGACAAGAAACCCTTTACATACACACCAGGTGGAATAGATTTGTCAGAAATTAAATCCCCCAGAATGGCGAGAAGGTTGGAACGTAACGCAATGAATGAGGGGGTATCGACGGTTCCTCAGCCACAGCATTATCCAACTGGGCCACTTCCACCTTCCGCCTTAGCTGCCATGCAACCGCAATTGCCCGTACAGGTGTTTCCATCGGGCGGTGTTCCTCAACTACCACATAGTGGTGCACCGGCACCGCCGCCACCTCCGCCCAAAGCACCCCCAATGAAAACGTCGCCTTTGCCTACAGATTGTTACGAACGGCCTGATATGACAAAAATCATACCCGATAATCCGATGGCATTACTACGGAAAACAGCTGGACCTGTAGTCAAACAAGATCCTATTCTAAATAAATGTAGAACCATCGGCTCGGAGAACCCCACAGAACGAGCACCACCCCATCCGCAAAATACAGGGGGTCATTACCCACAAGTACAACCGACACGTCAAATAAGCACGGAAGTACCTCCACCAAAACCAATTTCAGGAGTTGGTGCAATTTACGTCCCGCCAATTAATAACAGGCCTCAACCAGCGGAGCCTTCGCCTCCCATAAGTCACAAGCCTCAACTAGTTGAAACGTCGCCTCCCGCAAGTTACAGTCCACCCGCATATTACAAGCGGCAACCATCTACTCCCCAGCCGGAATCTCCAAAGCCGCAACCGCAAAGTCCCGACAGTCTCAATAGCCCCAAGCCGTCTTTGAGCAAAGCGCCAACGCCTTGGCTCACCCAGAGAAGGCAAACCTCTCAAGATCATCCCGAGTGGGCGGTAAATGACCATCGCGTGCAATCTCCTCCGGCCCAACAAGAGCCACAACAGCAACCGTGGACGCCGCCCGAGAAACAAGAACCTCCACCACAAGCAAAACCGGTACGCCCCTGGCAACAACAACAGCAGCAACAGCAACCTGAAATGCAGCCTTGGCAACATCGACAAGTCTCCCTGCCAGAGCAATACGGTCCACCGCCAACACAATATCAACGGCAACAACCGCAGCAGTTCAGACCGGAACCACCAGCTCCTTCACCCCAAAAACAAGGGGGCGTGAGAAGACAAATTGATAACCGGGAAAGGCCGCAAGAGTATTTCCCTGCCGAAAAAACAGAAATCGTCATTGTCAACGATCCTCCTATGGTGTTCCAACATCCCGGACAAACCCAGCAACGAGTAACGCGCCAAGTGCCCTATCAGCAACAGGAACCTGGTGTACGCGTTATACCAATGCAAGTAGAGGGCAGAGCTACTAATGGACAAGTCCGTTCGCCACAACACAACAGGTAAATTGCCACCACTCGCGCCTTACAATCTAGCTTGACCTTGTGTCCCTAGTGACGCTCGGTCATTTAACCGCCAGAATTCAACCCCAACTCAATCAAACACCTTTAGGGTGCTACAGAAGATCACCCAGACGGATGGGGACGATGACGACTATCAGATCGCTACCGAACACTCGCCAAAGATGTACCATCAATTCCCGCAGCAGCAGCAGCGCAAGTGGGATCAGGGCGATCAGGCCCTGATGAATTCGTTTAGGCAAGGTAGGCCGTTTTGTGAGGAAGCATGCGAGTTTCAGCCAGGCGCCTTTTCAGAGTCACATTTAGACAATTTCGAAAATCCAAGATATAGGGGTGGGCACATACCGTCAAAATTATTTTGGATGCTAGACGATAGCGGTAAACAATTTTTTTGTACGGTGGGGGTAATCGCTTACTTACTGCTCGCACGATCTATTGCTTATTAACACTCTTTTAACGTAACCAGGTTTTGACGAAAATAACACCCTTCATAACGAAGTAGATCCGAGATATCGCGGTCCTAACATTCCCTCCAAGGCGTTCAAACTACTGCAAAACATGACGAGCGGCCAAGACCAAACTGACGGTACGCTTTGGTGTGTCTTGTCTTGCTTCTTCGCTTGACGCATTTGCCTAGTTTTTTTCCGTAATAAAGCAACGTTTTTCCACAGTTCCTCAAGAGTATCAGCAGTCTGCAGTCGCGGGGCCTAAAGTGCGGACGATACCGATTCAGATAGAAGGTAGCGTAATCGATCAGCTATAGGCTCGAATGCATTTTCTTCTAATTTAGGTAATGGATCTGTCAAAAACTATGTCCCACCAAGCGAACAAACCGTTCAGGAGCCAAAAAAGTACATGGGCAGTTCAATACCTAGTCGCTCCTTTAAAATGTTACAAGCAATGACTGCACCTGATGAATGTGGTAAGTGTTTCATTGTATCACCAGATCATCAGCTAAAGATCGAAATTAATTCTTTCATAATCTCGTGATTAATTTTGTCATTTCACCAGTTGAATAATAAAAAAGAAGTTAAAGCAACGATTTTTAAGACCTACCCAATATTTTTTAATAGCACCGTTTCATCTGTTATAGCGAATCCCGGTCAAGCTAGCGAAAATTATACGAACGACCCCTCCTCGTATACACAATGGGGATTCGATCCCAATCAACATCCTCCACCGCCCTACTGTTTTGATCCGTACTGGTCTTATTATAGTCAGAATTTTCCCCCAAATGGCGATGGTGTCGATCCGAATCAAAATCCCAGGATGACTCCAGTCCCCTTTCCTTACTACTACCCTCCCTACTACTACGGACAGAAAGAGAAAGCTAACAGTTCAGAATCAGTTAACAAACGTAGTCAAGGAACCACCCCTGTCCCTTGGCAGAGTGGGGAGACCACGCACATCCCACAATGGCCTTACTATTACCCAGGGTATGCCGATAACAATACAAAGCCTCAAAATCCCGAATCGGAAGACCAACAAAATTGCATGTACCCTCAATATTGGAACCCCTACTACTACGGTTACTACTATGGAGCAATGTATCCACCTCCATACTCCCCTTACCCTTTCTACCCGCCGCACAGTGACGCGGAGGAGGTATCCGGATATTCTTCCAATGAAGAAATGGCATACTACGGCGCGAGATTCGCCGTAATGCCGCCAACTGTCAACGGCTCGGCCGCGCCGAAACCTGAAGTTCCTAAAAAATCCTCCATAGAGAAGACGGAGGTGCGAAAGCACGAGTTAACCGACGATGACGGCGAGACATCGGACTCCGACGCCGAAATGATAGGTTACGAGGTGTGCAGAAAAACACCCGGCTTGCAGGCGATTCGTTCCGTATCCGACATCAAGGTCTACGAAGCAGAGGAGAGCTCGCAGTGTTCCGACGACGAATCGGAGGACACCACGGAAGGAAACGAGGACAGTTCGTCTCTGTGCGCTGCCGACGACGTTATACCTCATCAGCTTAGTGTTATTTTCGAGGAAAGCGAAAGGACCGAAAGTGTACGTTTGGGTAGGGAGTCTAGTGTTTCCACCACCATAAGCGAAGGAACCGCCACAATCGAAAATAGCGAAGACGAGGGGGCGGAGGAGTCCGACTCGACAGTGTTCGTTAAGTTTGTCGGGACAGAAAGTGAACAGACAGCCAAGCTTGGAGAAATTGAAAATTGTGATAATGAAGTACCTTACAAGACTGATAGTAGTGAGAGTTTCAAAGACGCATCAAACGGTTATGATGATCTAACTCATTTGGCTCATTCCGAGTCCGGCATCGACTTTTGGGCGCATTTAGCTAAGGATGCTTCTAGATCCGACGTTTTTGTTACACCGAAGAAGTTGGTGCACGAAAGGATTATTGAAGAGGAATCGCCAAACGTTCAGCAAAATAGTATTACTAGCAGTAGTAACGGGGAGCACTCCCAAATAGCGAAGGAAGTCAGTATTGTTAGTAGTAGTGACGAGGAAAAGTCAGAAGTTGACTTTTGGGCGGAAATTATAACCGACGAAGACCCGACAGTAACACAGCAAAAACAAGACGCGCGCTCTACTTGTTCTAGTCATAGTAACTTAAGTGGGAGCGGCGCGGTACCTCAAAAAGATATCACTCCAGAAGATAATAAGACTGAATTACCAGAAAGCGAGAATCAAAACTGTGATGAGACACCTTTGTCAATTCAAGAACGCATTCAAATGTTGCAAGAGTCGATTGCGGCCAAGAAAAAACAATTGGGAGCTAACGAAAACAAGGCGATCAAAGAGCGTAAAACTGAGTTGCAAATTACGCCAGATACGGACTGTTCGAGAAAGAGCAGTTTGAAATCGTGCGAGGAATGCAGCGAAGAAGAGGGAGATTCGGGTGTTACTTCCGATGTGAGTCGGCATATATCCGAAGTCGAAACCGATTTGGATTTCTTAGAAGCGAAACAGTCAAACAAGTACCAAAGGGCTTCCACGCATTCCAGACTTTTTAAACTCCTCCAAGACGAATGTGATAATGAAGATGAGGTCGACGAGGTCAAAAGTGTCGACGCGTGTAAGAGCATGCTACGCAGAAGAGATCAGTTGAGTTTGCCGCTGAGACAACCAGGTAGCGATCCCGAAAGCTTCTCTTCCAGTGGATTTACTTCTCCAGGATCTCCCACTATTAACGATAGGTTAGTTAGTGAGTTAATACAGAGTTTGTTGATGAAAAAGCAAGGACGCGTTTTTAAGAATGTTACGATGGAAAAGTTACAGGCGGCCGCTTTGAGAATTTTACAAGAAGACATGGATGGCTTGGAAACGCTCAGTTCTTCGGAGGAGGGTAGCTTCTTGTCGTCGAAGAGGGGTGAAGTCGGGAGTTCGCCTACCACCGCGCAATACTTAAACGACTACAACCAATATTATGAGTCCTGGAATGAGGCGGCTAAGTACTGCGAAGGGCAGCAGGATATTTTACCTTCGAAAGCTTTCCGATTGCTCCAAGAGCATTCGGTCACAAACAAAACTGGCGCTTTCGCCGGGTTGTTGGCGCGTTGTCCGCGGGTCGTAAGCAACAAGAACGTACAAAAAGAATTGTTGAAGCTTATCGAAAGTGCCGAAGCTCCTTCGCCCATTCCAGAATCCTCCCCATTCCCCAATGCGAACGAGGCAGCAAACGCCTCTTGAAACTAAATCGAGGAGGTGGAAATTTTGAAATTAGAAATTGTCTAAACAAATATCGAAGTCCTGGGTTTTCGATGAGGTACAAATAAAATTGGTTGTTACTTTTTCTGTGAGAATTGGTTTATTTTAATTTCCGCATTTTTCGTCGTTGTTACAGTTAGGTTTTGTTCTGTTTTATAGCTACTTTTTGAGTTGGTAGGTTTAAATGCACATCGACGGACGGTTTTTGAATATGCAAATGTTTACATATTCCAAAACAATCTAGGGCGATGGTTAAAAATGATCTCTTTGGAGTAAACTCCACCTTTTAACAATGTATTTCAAACAAATTTTACCACATTCATTTACCACAAAATACATTTTCTATATTTATTTGCATTTGATTGCGGCAAGATTTTTAATTGGCATTAATTAATAATTGCACGTATATCACTCGAGTGTAACTTTTGCTTTTTGCTGTTATCACTTTTGCTTGTGATTTCCAAATTTGTCTCTCGAGTAAATTTGATTCGGACGCGCAAAAGTAATTGAATATTATCCTGAACGGCTTCGTTGCACTCTACCATACAATTTCCAAAATCTTGCACAACTTCATCGAGGTGAAATTTTCAACTGAGTGATCCTGACTAGCATGGGTTTACTTCTTCAATAAACTCCGAGGTGCCTTCGGAATATCCAAATGTCGACAAGATTGTTTATATAAACTTAATAACGAATGCAAGTTACACCAAATTAACATATCATAACTCTAAAGACTATTGAGAAAAACGCATTAATGTGTTTGTGTGTAATTTAACTATTGATTTAATCTTGGGATGTAAATTGTAGCTATTTAATAAAGGCTAAATAGAAATATAGAAACATACACACATAATAACAAATTACTATTTAAACATTACACAGTACACTTTTTAATATAAAAAAAGGTGCAGTTTGCTTCAAGAGATAATTTCGTTTATTTAAAATAAAATTAATCTTATTCATCCTTTACTAACACAAAGTCAGAATCTGCTTTCATTTTTCATGTGTGATGTTATTATTATTATTATCTTCTGTTACTAATCCAATTACAAGTCGGCTGACATCGCATGATTATATGTTAATATGATTCATTGCATGAGTTTTGTGAACTAGGTACTGCATTTTTGTCATTGTCACTTTCATGAACCAAAAATGGATATCAAATGCAAGTAAATATTGAAATCGTTTGAATTTTCCCTTCCTGACTTATGTGACTATATTAATCTCGTTCTTTCGTTTTAGGTCCAGGTCAGTCAGATTTGTAAACGATGTTGATAACGTTTTTTTCTGTACAAGATGTCGTAATCTACGTCAAATCACCGTTTTTCTTTTTGAAATGTGTGAATGTTAGTTTTGCTTTCTGTTATAGTCGTATACCAACTCCATTTTCGCAATTAGTGTTACTTTGGAGGGTATTTAAATGATTATAAAGTTGCTACCAATTGTGATTTTTATGTATATTATGCATTTAGAACAAAATCTTTTTAGTTTGTAACAACCACTAAGGAGAAATGCTAAGTATTAATAACTCTTTTTAATAATTGTATTGTATATGTACATTTAAATTTTATTGGAATGTTCGTTGCTCACTGAACTCAGTTCTATATTAGTCACATAAATAAAATATATTGTGAATATTGTTATACCAATATGTGCCTGTAGTAATTATTTATTATTTTTAAATAAAATTATTAATAATTTTTAGGTATCCGAAATAGTCCCACAGATTTCCAGAAAGACTTTTCTTTGGTTACTTTCAATCTCCAATTTACAAAATATTTCAATTAAAAGGCCTCCCATAAAGGTCTAAGACTTCTTCATAAATCTTGGTAAGAGTTTCAACAATGAAGTCTTCAAAAGAGGAACTTCACGCAGTCCTTAACTGTGTCCAAAGTTTTTTTTAGTTCTGGAAAGATCATCAATAGTTTTGAAGGTCCTGATAAGTCATGCCAAAAATCAATGTAAAACACATCGTCAAATGTTCTGAATTTATAATGAATTTTCTGAAACCTGACATCCCTCAATGGGCCTAAGGTTCAAAAAGTGTAATCGAAATCGCTGATTTTATTTGCGAAACGGAGACTTCTTCCTGCCTGGGGATGGGGTGAAAAGGAACCTCCACCAATTCTTATCCCCTAATACTCGTCATTATACAGGGTGATTCAAAATTGAGTGCAAAGATTTTAAGGACCTATTTACCAGCCAAAAATAAGAAATTTTTTTCATATAATCGTATGTCCTAACTTGCTTTGTTTTCTAGATACAGGGTGTAAAATTTTTTTTAAATATCGATTTTTATTTATTTTATTCCCAATAAAGGAAGGCTCGTGTGACGACAAATAAGCCTACTAAATTTTATTTAAATCCGCTGAAAGGTTTTTGAATAATTGATAAAAAGCCAATTTTTTTAAAACTTTACACCCTGTATCTAGAAAACGAAGCAAAGTTAGGACATAGTTAAAATCACTTTTCACTTTTCGTGTATGGCATATTCACACAGATTTGTCCGACCACTCCACAGGACTTACAGCATTGTATTAAATTATTACAGTAATATGTTGGGGTGGTCTGGATTTTGGATTACGACACCCGTACATAGGCCTCAAATTCGGGCCCTTTCTACTACCTCACTGACTAGCGTCGACGGACTGCACAACGTCACTCAAGCCACAACACACAAATAAACCAAAAGGACGTTGGAAGCCCTGTGCAAAAGCGCACCAGGCTATACGTAACGATAAGGTTCCTTGAAGGCTTCTTTTGCATGGCGACCATCTCTTTCACGTTCCATGGAGATCTAGGGGAAGCAGACCCAGAAGGGCTGTGCTCCAACCTTTTATACTGGCCTTTGGTTAGAGCTGTGGTGTGCCCTTCTTCGTCTGCGGTTGGGTCGATATGTTGAGTCATCCGACCTCTGCCTTCTTTTATAAAGAGAAACTGTTAAAGTGTTAAGGTACCTTTACACTATAATATATCTCACATGATTTTTTATATGATAGGTATGTTATATGATATTTACTACCAACATATTTTTCATAAGAGTTTTAATGTTTTAATTTACACTTGACAGGTTTTTCATATGACTTTAATACAAGAAGCTACGAAACCATATATAACTTCTCTAAATTAAAATGTTCCAAGTTCAAAGATTGCGCTACTAGTTCAAAAGTTACAGCCCTTTGAATTTTCTCTCGAAATTGGTTTCTAGTCTATAACTTTTGATTGAGAAGTCTGTTCGAAAAAGTACGAATTGTTTTGGATTCTACGCACCAAAATTAATAAGAAAAAGTGTTTTCCCGAGAAATTTTGGTGCAGTCGATTTTTGGAAAAAATGAAGGTTATACACAGCCTTTTTTTGCCCCGAAAAAAAAATTGGCTCAGATCGTCCCGGGAAAAAATTTTTCTTATAGAACGTGGCCTGTAGAATCCATAATTTCAAACAGTTCCAAGATTGGGCTACTAGTTCAAAAGTTACAGCTAGGGAATGCAATCCCGCAACAAAATCTCAATCCCGGTATTTGCGGGATCGTTAGATGTTAATCCCGCGGGAACCCGGTATTTGCGGGATCCCGCAAAATTTTAAATAAATGGCAAATAAGCAATTTTGTGCGGTTAACTTCTGTATTAAAATAGATCGCTAATTATCACAATAAGTATTCAACAAAAAAGTACCTTCAGGCTAACTTAGAACTCAAAAAAATCACCTGTAAAGCACAAATAGGTGAACTTCTAAAGTGCCTCAAAAATCATACTACATTTTTAAGGAAAAAAGTTTAACAATTATTTTAAAAATAATTTCTCCGTTATGCGTTTCATTAACAAAGCAAACAGAGTCGTCCCCTTGGTCGACATTAAGGATGAGTGTACTCTTATTTGAAAGATTACCCCAAACATTTGAAGGGTTAATTACCAATCAAGACACTATTTGATGATGTGTGTCTGAAAACACCACTACAACCAGACAACCAAATACCAATATGCTCGTAAATATTTATTGCTCGATTTATTGTTTATGTAGGTAATTTATTCTTGCATTAGTAACTAATATACCCATAATCATTGATTATACACACCTATAATCAATGATATAATCAAAAGTTTACTGGTTTACTCAAGTATTCAGCCTTTTCAGATAAGTACAACAGTAAAATGCCAAAAGTAACCATAAAAGGGCGGGATCACTTTGGATATTTAAAATAAGTCATGTCATTTGTCATGGAGAAATAGAAACATCCTTATTCCACGATTTACGTATTATTTCCATATTTTTCCTTATGATTTGTCTTATGACAGCCAAAATACCCAAAATAGTATAGTGTAAACACAAATCTGAATGCTTATCATATGACAAATCGCATGAGAGGTATGATAGTGTGAAGGTACCTTTACAGAGGAAAAGTGAAACGTATAAAGTTCTCATATAAGTAGAAATAAACCGTAATCTTAGAATATAATACTTTTTATATTCAAAGCTGTAATGAGGAGTTGTCTTGTTGGTAGTGAAATGATTAATCTTCTAAACAATCCTTAGAATCATTCATTTAGCTATGCAGGAAATACTTAAAGAAGCAAGGAATCTATAAAAACTATTTTTTCATAGATTTCATGTAGCCATTTACACTTTTACGTTTTAAATTTATTTCGCCTTCTCCTGTTACTAAAACTGAGGTAATAGAATGCGCCCTCGTAAAATAGAACGTAACCAAAATGCATATATATACTCTTATATATATGCCAAAATGTGTGGTAGTGAAAGGTTATGTTCAACTGTTTTGAGGTTATGTTGTACTCATTTTTAAAAACATGGGACGAAAAATACCCGGAAAGAAGCATAGGGGTGTGCGAGACCCGGAAAAGCAACGGGAATTAAGGCTTCAAAGGTAAGGATTGTTATTTCACACTCCTATGATCTAATAGCCATTATAGCCTTAAAGGGAAAATTAACGCTCCCCCTGTAAATCCAGACGTACAAGAAATTCCTAGAAGTCTAAATCGTTTAATCGCCTTAAAGAAAAAGAGTTCAGAACAGAGGAAGCCGAAAAAGAAGCGAAACCAGTTCAATATCGAACGGGAAAAAGGAGAATCGGAAAGAGACTACCTTAGTCGCGTTGAAAGCATCTGTGACGATATCATAGAAGAAAATCGCCACCTCGATTTTACACGAAACGATAAAACTGGCGAAGTAAGTAGCTCAGTTTGGAATTCTCATTCTTAGCCGTTCTTTAAGATTGAAAATTTCACTGAGAGAGACGAAGATGAAGCGGTGAACAATCGGAAACGTAAACGTGACGGCAAGCTGAAGAAATTGGAAGAAGAACTTCTTAAGCCTAAAGTAACCAAATCGCAGAAACGTAAAATGAAACGTTTGCAAAAACAGCAGGAGCGTGAATCACGCGACGAGGTTGATTTCGCGAGTAAGAAGGATAATATCAAGTTTGGAGAGATTGTGCACGCGCCGCCTAATTTAGTTAAGCCAAGATATGCATCGAAGGAAGGAGGTGCTGCTCGGGTAAGATTGTGAACAGTTTAGATACTTTCATTTAGGTTGCGATTTCTTGATTAGCCTGGCAGAAAAAACTTGCTATTGAAGACGATAGTTGATGATAAAAATGATAGAAGTAAAACTATTGACAAAAAAGGAACTGCAAGTAAAGTTATTGACAAAAAGGGTAAACGAAAAAATCTGCCAAATGCTTTGAGAAGAAAAATGGAGAAACAACAAACCGAAATTATTAATGCGTATAGAATGCTGAAAAGCAAAAGGCAAAAGGGAGATTAAGGCAAACATTGTAAATTACAAAATAAATTATAATTTTGCTTTAATATTTTTTTGGTCATTCCACTGCACAAGTAGACAAGTTATCGAAAGGGGTGCCTACCATATATGCTCCATGTTGGGCGCCAAATAATTTTGTTGGTTTTGTACCAAATTTTAGTTTGCTCAATACTGGTGCTGGAAGAACTAATTTGCTGTACTTGTTACTTTGTTTGTTCTGGAAAGGGTTGTTATAGTTATAGGTATTTATAAAATAATTACACACTGTTAGAAAAAATATGCAAAAACCAATAAGACACCCTAATTCTTTTAAATTATTCTACTTCTAACAAATTATATACAGATATATTTATGCGTGTATTGTTTTTCCCTTTGTCTACCTTTAAATAAATCTCTTCTGAAGTGCGCCTAATTTTATGCATTCAATATAACTTCTTAAAACAAATGAAGATCTTGCTGCCATGTTAATTAATTTGAATATTGTTGCTATGATTGATGAACTCCTACATTGTGTAATCGGTTCCTTTATTAGTTGGAGCGTAAGACATAATCGGGAGGGGAATGAAATAAAATGCAGAATTTTGTGCACACGAGACAATACCAGGGAAACCTTCTACGGGACAAAAACCCCGGTATAGCCAACTACAGCAACAAAATGTAAGAGGAAATGCATAAATAATCAAATGCAGGTTACAAATTCATGATCGTGATCAGTGTAATTACGCAACTCACGATAAGCATAACTTAACAAAGTGTTGTATCTTAAAGTCTGTGCTAATTGTACACATAAATAAAAATCAAAATACAGTAACCGATTTATTATAGAGTAAGTATAACTTTATCTTTCTTTTAGCTTTTTAATTAAAATTTTTGCACCCGCAGTCTTTTGCTTCTCCAATATTTTTAAATGTGCATTCAATTTTGATTTCAACTCATCCTGTTCCTCATTCGTACTGTTTTCGTAGAGGGCGACTAAAAGAAAACAGCCGCGATTCAAAGTTAACCATTTTTGCATCTAAAATAAAAGAAATTAAATCCGAGGCAAAAATCTAAAACTAAACCCACCGTTTCGGATGATATCTCTGCGAGCAGTGTCTTCCCAAAGGTTACCTTGCCGTCTGCTGCAAGTGTCTTATCGTGTTGCAACAATTTTTTCAGCATCATGTGCAAAGCGGGACTCTCGACCGCTAACTGCTCGCCTTCCTTTTCAATGCACCATTCGATATTCGTGACCGTTTTTGCAACTGCGCCCAGAATGTCGCCGAGAAAGTTATCTGGAGCTGAACGCAAAATTGTAGATCAAATAAACGACACTGACGGCGACTTACCGGCTTTTATAATCGCCAAAGTAACCAACGTTACCGACGGCGTCGAGAGCCAAAATTCTGGTTTTGCGATGACTTCATTCGTTAACATAAATATTACATAATTTAAGAGCTCTTGCCGCCGTTGCGTAACGTCCTTTTTGCTCGTCGAAACCGTGCGGCCTGCATCTAACTCTTGAATAAATTGTGGATGAAAATGTGCTGAATCGCCTGGGGCGATTAGCCACAATAATACCTGGAAACATCAATTAGATAATATTTAGCAGAGTTGCATTAATTATTACGTACTAGAACAATGACGCGCAAAAAATATTTTCTTTATTTTATGCAGATGTTTTATAGGTTTGAATAAGTAGGCTAAGCCGCTCTTTAATAGTAAGGGTAGCTAAAGTAAAACGAATGATTGTGCATTCAAATACTCTCATTATTTTTTCAAATGGGACGCGGAGTACGATATAAAATGAAGTTCAGAACATATGACAATTGACAATGCTGTTTCTATGGAAATTACCGCGATGTCCTAAGCTTGCTATTTTTAACGTCTAAATTAAATTCAGTTGTTTCCTATCACAACTTTGATTATAAGAAAGCGGAAAATTGTAGATTGATCATTATCATCAACAGCACGGAAAAGTGAGTGCGAAATATATGCAAAAAACAAACATGAATCACAAGTCATCTATCAGGTCTCGGAGCATGTATGAGACCTTTTTGTTCTCCCTCCCTGGACTAAACAGAAAATTGTACCTTCCGAGAATGTTCATCTGCCACTAATTCATTAATATCAGTCGTCAATTGGGATATAATCATTTTGTTTAACAACACCGTATCATCGACGGTATCCAGGAGTGTGATCACCATACAATGCCCGTGTTCATGTTTCGACAGCTCAGTAATATGTTCCTTGACAGCTTTCATAATCACCTAGAAATCGATTAATAAATAAATTAGCAGAAAGCGTCTACAAACCTTTTTCTCCTTATTCGTACTGTGCCAAATGCATTGCATAGCGGCACGGGCACCATCCCTACTGTTACTTATGACGACAATATGTGGAGCCAATTGAGTTATAAGCTCAGCCTTATCCTCCGAGTTACACTCTGACAAGTACTGGTAGATTACGGTTTGTACGAGGGCGGAATCTAACAACTCCTTATTTAGTACCTTCAGTAAATTCGATTTGGTAGTCTGAAGTGCGGCGTCTCGCATGGTCGGACTGTCTCTATACACGTCTTTCAAATGTTTCACGCTGGGATCCTTTGCGTTTTTATAAATATCTCCGAAAAACTCTTGCATTAAATCATGCTTGTGTTGCGGCGTGGCCCACGTAGAGTACGCGTACTCGAACACAGACGCGCTAATCAGATGACTGCAAAATTTCACAGCGTTACCATACATTTTCTTAATGGCCGCCGAACGAATGTCACCGTTCCCATACTTGAGCATACTCTTAAGACAGTTTCGGCCATATTTCGAATGCAACATTTCCACGGTGACGGGTATGAGCTCGTCGGAAATCGCCTTGCGAATACTCTCATTGCCAAACTTAAACAAGAATTGGACTATACGTGCCATGTCATGCGCAAAAATCACTTTGCAATACTGGCCTTTGCCGACAATCAGATCGTGCAGCTTAGAAATTGATTTGTTACGTTCGCCTAGGTTTCCTCGTAGGCTTCTCTGTCGCAATACTTCAAAAATTTTCTTCGCCTCCACGATGGTGTCGTAAAATTTATTAGTTTGCTTACGCTTCAATCGTAATTCCTTCTTCTTTTGCTTAAAATTACGCCAATCTGGTTTTTCGGTTGTGGTCTGAGTGGGACGTTTAGATCCACTCTTACCTTTTGGTTTAACATGCTCAGTTTTCAGTTTCTTCTTTGGGGCTTCTTTTGTGGTACTAGACTCAGATTCCCTTTTCTTACTGATCGAGGTTTTAGCTGTAGATTTCACATCCTCAACACTGTCGGTTTTCGGTTGCACTTGCTTAGTTTTTAGTTTCTTTTTCGGTTTCTCTTTTAATGAATCAGATTCAATCTCCCTTTTCTTGCTGTTGATCATTTTAATTTCAATCAAATTCTTCTAAACTGTTGTGATTCAAATTCAATACATTTTCACGTGTGAAAAAAGAGGTTAGGAAAGACCACAGAGTACAGAAAACATGGAGGTTCATTGTGGTGAAATGATATACAGGATGTGTCATATCATGAGTACGAAATTTCTCACTTGCATGGCTTACTGCTTGTTAAAAGTTTATTACTCGGGGGTGACACCGATTTCAAGCAAATCGCACGAGGGAGGTCCCACGACACTAAAAACAACAACAAATCTTCCGCTGTTTATATAATAGCTTTCAACAAATTCTTTCAAAAAAATTCGGTAAGTTCTACTGGAACGTAATTACTTAATTTTTGGTCCTTCCAGTGCCCTTTGATTGGAATGTTCAAAATCAAACTATTCTTACGTGAAAATTTTCCAAATATAATGTCTCTGATTAATGTAACACAACGTTCCATAAAAATAATTAAATTACTTATAAGACGATCTGGGAGGTTGCGTCTGATGCTGGCGGCGTTTCCACGTGAGATGGCAAGGGATATTCCTTGAAGTAGGAAAGTTTTAGCATGGATATGTCTCCGGACTCCATCTATTGTTGGAATTGTTGGCACGGGATATTCCTTGAAGTACGAAAGTTTTAGCATGGATATGTCTCCGGACTCCATCTATTGTTGAAATTTTAACCACGCCATTCTACCGCGCCGTGATTTTTGATTGTCGATTGTCGACCTTCATCTTTCTTTTCTGTCGAGAACCATATTTCATCCATATTTTATTCATCTCTGGCAATTGTATTCATTAAATTAGGCATTCTGGTATAATTAGTAAACGGATTCACTTTTAACTCCGTAGAGAGGATATAATTTGCGTATTTCCTTCCTTATCGTAAGTACTTACCGCCATTTGCGTTTCATTTACTTATTGAAGTGTATTTTTTCTTTAGGTTCGGTTGTGTATAACAATACGACAATTTTCCATCCACAATTGTTGCTTCATCTATAATGTAATGAGCCCCCGTATTTAAGAGGTATGTACATTTTAGGGTATCAAAAAGAGGGGTTACCTTTGATTTCTTTTAGGGTTTTAATTTTAGTTCAATCTCAAATTTAATTCAACTGTAAGGACCATCTGTTGAGGTACGACTATGCAACCTTGGGTTAAATTCACTGTTGCCATGACATATCTTCCACCTGCTCAATGTTCTAAGTATAAGTATCTATCGCCAACTATCACCCTTCTGGTATAGTTGTGTACTGGATATTAGTTCTAACTTCTACAACTGTTTGTGTCTGGGTAAAAGGTACGGTTTTGCTGGGGCCGTCGACGGCCGCCGTTTACAGTGGCCAAGGAAACCACGTCCATAATAAATAACGATGTGCAGTGGTCCGTCGACGGCTCCAGCAACCATGGTAACGACAGGATGCGTACATGGACTTGCTTTCAAAATCAAGTTAGTAACAAAAACCGATTTTTGAAAAACGTCAAATTAAGATGAACACTTTCTTAATCAAAAGATTATTGCACATCGGCAGAAATAAGGCATACTCAAAGAAGGCAACGGGACCGAGCGCGTCATATACGGTTTACGATCACATATACGATGCCGTGGTTGTGGGCGCCGGAGGTGGCGGTTTACGAGCCGCTTTCGGTTTGGTGGCGTCGTGCTACAAGACGGCAGTGATTACGAAGATGTTCCCCACGCGATCGCACACCGTCGCCGCTCAAGGTGGCATCAACGCCGCTATAGGTAAGCACGCCGGCGTGAAGAACTAAAAGGGAAAATTAGTCCAATAGGTAGTATGGGCGAAGATCATTGGGATTGGCATTTTTACGATAGCGTGAAAGGTTCGGATTGGCTAGGCGATCAGAACGCTATTCACTACATGTGCGAAAATGCGCCGAATGCGATACTGGAGCTCGAGAACTACGGTATGCCGTTCTCGCGTACGAAAGAGGGAAAAATTTACCAGCGCCAATTTGGTGGACAGTCACTTAATCGGGGAACAGGAGGGATAGCTACCAGAACTTGTGCTGTGGCCGATCGGACTGGACATAGTATGCTTCATACGCTCTACGGCGAATCTCTGAAGTATGATTGCCATTACTACATCGAATACTTCGTAATTGACATAATGATGCATAAGGGTGCTTGCGTTGGAGTCGTGGCTTTGTCAATGGACGATGGGACTTTGCATCGATTTTTTGCTAAAAGCACTGTACTTACTACACTTGAGCTGTTTTACAAACTAACACCCGCTATATATTATAGGTAATCGCGACTGGTGGATTCGGAAGGACTTACGCCCAATGCACGGGTGCACATATGTGTACTGGTGACGGTATCGGAATGTTGACACGTGCCGGAATGCACATGCAAGACATGGAATTTATTCAATTTCATCCAACTGGAATATACGGAAGCGGTTGCCTGATGACCGAAGGATGCAGAGGAGAGGGTGGTTTTCTGGTTAACGGAAAGGGGGAACGGTTTATGCAAAACTACGCCCCTAACGCTTTGGAATTGGCTTCTAGAGATGTTGTATCTAGAGCAATGACAATCGAAATTCGGGAGGGTATAATCTTGTACTTTGTGATCAATTGCCCGCACCTCACGTTTTAGGGAGGGGATGTGGCAAGAACAAGGACTACATACATCTGCAACTGCACCATCTTCCCAAAGAGACTTTGACAGTACGACTTCCCGGCATTACGGAGACTGCAAAAATCTTCGCCGGAGTGGATGTTACCAAAGAGTCTGTGCCGGTATTACCGACTGTTCATTACTGTATGGGAGGAATACCTACGACTTATATGGGCGAGGTAAATGAAGTTTCCTCGGTATGTTTGGGTAATCGAATTCTGTAGGTATTATCAAAACAAGGCGAAGATTTCTGCAAAGTGCCCGGATTGTATGCTTGCGGAGAAAATGCTTGCGCCAGCGTACACGGTGCCAATCGGTTAGGGGCCAATTCTCTTTTAGAAGTCGTCATATTTGGCCGTGCTTGCGCCCACGCCATTAGAAACAATTGTAAACCTGGCGACAAGATTGGAGATATTTGCAAGGTAGGCGTTTAGCCATCAACTTTACGAAATTATTGAATATTTTAGGACATTGGGGAAGAGTCTATAGCTCTTCTTGATAATGTGAGGTATGCGGAGGGTTGTACATCGGTGGCGCAACTTCGCTTGGAGATGCAGAAAATTATGCAGGACGACATGGCCGTGTTTAGAATTGAGGAATCTCTACAAAAGGGAGCGAAGGATATAGTCGAACTTTACTGCCGTTTGTGCGATATGAAGGTAACAGATCGCGGACTTATTTGGAACTCGGATTTGACTGAAGGCCTCGAACTTAAAAACCTCATGCTGTGTGCCGTACAAATAGCAACTGGCGCAGCAAATCGAAAAGAATCTAGGGGCGCCCACGCGAGAGACGACTATCCATTAAGAGTGGACGAGTATGATTATTCAAAGCCCATCGAGGCTCAAGAAAAGAAACCATTGTCTGACCATTGGAGAAAGCATACCATTACAACTATGGATCACGAAACTGGCGAATGTAAACTATCGTATCGACCTGTAATCGACCACACGCTTCGCGAAGACGTGCCTTGGATTCCACCAGTACTTCGCAAATATTAAAATTTTGTTCAGTTTTGTGTCTTCAAATTATATTTTTGCTCATTTAAGTTTATAAATTCAAGACGAAAATCACACTTTACTTCTTTTACCAAATACTCGACGTTCACGGGGTGAGAAAACCCAATTGGACTTGAGTTTTAGCACAGCCAAACCCCGAATGGTTGATCACTCGCACTGAGCGCTACGTGCGCCGCCGCCGGCTCACAACCGAATCCATTCAAAAATCTACATCTACATCTACATCTACATCCCATACGCGTTTAATTTTGTAATCTTGCATTTCCTAGGCTTTTGCAGCACGTAATTCAGCAATTTTGGTTTGCGTATAGAACCCCCCGATGACGCATGAAAAAATGATCGCCATTTTGTAACGTACTTACGGACTTTTAAAAACCTAGGATTACTAAAATTTGGGGTTGATCGATTCTTTTTGACACCGGTATACTTTCTAATACCCGTACATAAAGCTGCCTAAACCCTAGCGAAATGAAGCTTGCAACCCTACAAAAATTAAATAGTATATTATATACCGCGGGACTGAAGTAGTACTTTTAATCCCGAAGGTAAAGTTTATGGCCCGACCGAAGGGAGGGCCATAATTTACCTGAGGGATTAAGACCACTACTTCAGTCGCAAGGTATATACGATATTTTTCGTACTTCCGAAACCGAAACACTTAATATGTATGGAGTTAGAGAACGGGTTCTTTCAAAAAATCGCTGCTTAACAAGTTACCATAGGAACGTTGCGTTGGTATGACAATCCCTATGCTATGGTAACAAAAATAATTTGGAAAACTGTCATTGCTAGTGTCATAATTTTGGTGGTGGGTGACAAAGGTGTATTTGATATTGATAAAAAGCAGCCAAAGTAGGTAAAGAATTGATACCACCGAAATCCAAAAAACTATATGAGCAGCAGTACGATGCGTTTAAGAAGTAGTGCCGCATACAAAATGTGGAACAACCTACTGAAATTGCCTTGTTAGTAATTTCATCCTTCCGGGATTTCGTCTAAATTTAATCCCGGCGGGACAAAAAGTGACACTTCAGTACTTGTCATAAAGGAGTGAAGTTCTTACTTTAGTCCCGGAAGTACGAAAAAGATTAAATTACGCTACTTAATTCTTCTGTTATATAATTTAATGCGCTGCATACAGTGTGCCATGGAAAAATAGGCTAAAAACTTGCGGGGGGGGGGGGTGGAACTTGTAGTTTTATCCTTCATGGTACTCTAATGAAAGGTCTCAACGAAAGGAATTAATTTCTACCAACCATAACCCTCCTCCTCGACCTCTTATCGTGATTGAGTATATGCCCTTAGACCTCAAGAACGGATTGTCGGAAGAGGGTATCACAAAGGGCGATTGAGACGTCTGCAAGAAATATATCCATTGGTGATGTCAAAACAAAAGCTATTTCGGTAAAAAATGCGCTTTATCTGCACAAGAGTTGTGCACAATTTATAACGGGCGATCAAAAATGAGTTGCTGTCGAGTCACCTTTGGAAGTTCAAGTTAAGTACGATTTCCCATGTAAACAAAAATTCCAAAGGTGACTCGACGGCAACTCATTTTTGATCGCATAGTACTTGTTTATTTATGGATTACACATGTGACACGGTAGACCCACGAACTTATAAATTAAGATGGACTGCTGATCAAACAGTTGCATAGCGGTAGAAATGGCCCTAGCGTGGGCGCGGCCATGATGTGCACTTTTTAGTTATTTTCTAGGGGAATTTTCCTAGTGCTCAAGTTTTGAGACTATTGGCAGCCTTGGAAAATGACATGTGTCATAGTAATTTATTTAGAAAACGTGAAGTTAATGCTTGTTTATTAGTTGATTTGAATTTCGCGCCAAGTGAGAGCACATCATGGCTGCCCCCATGTAGGTGTCATTTGTCAATTCAGCATTAGCAGTCCATCTTAATTTATAAGTTCGTGGGTAGACCTCTCTGATACAAAACTGGGTCAAGGAGTAGGTATTTTGCAGTTAATATAACAGCTTTTTGTAGATTACATGGATGCTGAATACTCACCGTTTTTAAGTTTTCCCTGTGACTAGTTAGAAAGTTCATAGATAAAAACCAGACAAAATGTATGTATTTAGAAATAGAAAAAGGATAAATGATAGTATAATAAAATTGAAACTGTTAAACAAGTATATGTCGAGAAAGCATTTGATGAACAATGCCAATAGATTTCTTTAATTTGTACTTACAAGTATAAAATAGGTACACTTAAACACTGATTTTGTTATTCAGAAACAGATAAAAGTACAATAAAAAAAAATCGTAATAAAGTAATATCCATGATTATTGCAAGCACTAAAACTTAACACGTTATTTCTTGCCCAAAGCTTTTTGCGTTTGTGCAGTTTTCTGTTTCGCTGCCTCTTCTTTTTCTGAAAGTAAGAATTTGCTTTTAGCGTCTAGAAATAAATCATTTACAACAAACCTTTCTTTTCTATTTCTCTACGTTTCTGCGCCTCTTCTCTTTGTTGCCTAATAATAGCGAGCCTGGCAAGGTCGGCACGCGCCTGATCAGTCTTGCCTTCGGCGTGAAGTTTCTGATAGTGAGCCTGCGCCCTTTGCTTTTCGATTTCTTCGCGTTCGCGTCTAGATAATTGGGGTTTTTCGGGTTCGGCATCCGCCTTAAGCGTGGTTATTTTCTTACTTTTCCTCTGCGCCCTGTTCGGATTCTCTATTTCTATTAAATTAGATACGCCCTTAACTTTGGAATCGTCCTCGTCACTACTCTCATCCTCGCTACCCGACGAGCCCTCTTCGCTAATTCGTTTGTCGCCGCTACCGGTCGCTTCCTCCTCCTCGTCGCTACCGCTCTCGTTCTTTTGTTTGCGCCATTTTTTCTGTTCGTCCCTTCTGCGCTCCTCTTCTAGTTCTTCGGGGTTGGTGAAACGTCGATTACGTCCTTTGTGACTTGTAAATTTGCCTGCAGGAAGTGTTTGGTTAGACTTAGTTTGGGGAGAGAAAGTTGTCAATTTTTACCTCGTGGCATTTTATAATTGTGGCTATTATATAATTTAATGCCTGACGATTACAAAAAGCTCTGTATGTTCTAATCGAAGGGGACAAAACAAAAATTCGGGTTTTGGTACCTACAGATAAAACAGGAACAAGAAAAATGTTGGTTATATCAATAGTGCCAACCTAAGGACTATCCACGTGCCACACAATGCAACAAAATTTTGTATACAGGGTGCTACACGATTCATAAGAAATGCCACACATGTAACACATTCTTATCAAGATCGTTTATTGTTATAATTTCAATTCTTATTAAACAAAAGGCACAAATATTTCTGAACGTGCTTTCTGACGACTAATACATTTGTCGTTCCTTTAATGGCAGCTGGAATTTTGACTCAGTAGATTAATACAAAGCTTTATAATATTTTCATCAAGACTCGTTTGATGACCACTTTCTCTTTCCTTGTTCTGATTTACAAAAATTGAACGATCGCCCCTCATTCCCAATCTCATAAGCCGCCTGATTAAATTTAAGGTTTTTTTCTGTTTTATTTACACTACGCCTGAGTGAGTGGGTATTGTATAAGAAATGAAAAAAGAGCCTTAATTAAAAAATGTCCACTGAAATGATCCGAACAAGAAAGTATGTTACCCATGTTTTCTTTTCGAAACGCAATGGGAAGAAAATACGCTTTTTTGGAGTGGTTCGGTTATGAAAAACTGTACTGGGTTTTTGCTTCGAGATACTGGGCTGCTACCCTTTCGCATCATTCCCTTCACGGCAGCTCAAAAAATTCGACACAAAGTACAATTAGTAAAGGGAATTTACATCCTCGTGAGGTACAATAAGCTACCCGAAGATCCTGAGAGTCTTTGAAAATCCAAAAGAACCAACAACTACCAATTCATGAGATTCAAAATACGTAGGCATTCAAGACAAAATATAAGAAAGACAAATTTGATTAATTCAACTATAAAGAATCGAAGAATCGAATGAATTAAAAAAGTTCAAAAGGAATAGAAAAAGGCGAAGAAATATAAATTTTCGAATGATGTATTGAAGAATCCGAAGCATTCCAAGCCCAACAATCAAATTAAAAAAATTCAATGGAGCGGATGCATTCAAGTGATATTAGGATTTTTAAGAATTGAAAAAGGCATCCAAAGAATCTCGAAGCTTCCGCGAATTTGGAGAATCTCAATAACTTGAAAAGCCTGAAGAAACCGAAATATAGGAAAAACTTGAAAAATCCGACTTATTTTAAAGAAGTCATAAGTATAGAATGTGAAAACTTGATAGGTCTGAGGATTTTGAAGGATTTGATAAAGCCGAAGGAATTGAAAAATCAGAAAAATGAAAGAATCGTAAGAATTGAAAAATTTGAAGAACTATAGAACCCGAAGCACTGGTATATAAATGGGATAGTCTAATGAACCTAAATTATAGAACATCGGAAAAATGTGAAGAAATACAACATTTGAAATAAACCGAACAATCTGCAGTCTGAAATATCTGAAGACCTTGAAAACACTGAAAGATTACAAAGAATACGAATGATCTGAAGAGTTCGGGCTATTCAAATGGTTTAAGAAAGGCAGCAAGCAACATTTTGAAAGATGTGATGAATTAGAGAAGTAGAAGAACACGAAGGATGTTACGAATGTAAAGGATTAAGATAATTTGAAAAGGACCGTAGAAACCTGAGCATTTTACTTTTCCAATGATTCGCCTTGTATATAAGACAGAACTAAAGAAAGATTCTTTAGTTTTTTCACGTTTCAAGGTTGCCATTAATGTGTGAAAGAAAACATAACCTCAACAAATTTACACAAACAACTAATAAAATTTGTAAGAAAATCGACAATGATTTCCGTATAAAGCTTCGCTAAAAGTACTTTAACCCAAAAATATGCCCAAAGTTAGGAGAAGCAAAAAATCCCCACCCGAAGGATGGGAATTAATCGAACCGACCCTTGACGAACTGGAACAGAAAATGAGAGAAGGTGCAGTTTTTAACGCCCGAAAAACCCCACATTTCATCGCTTTTTTCAGCCGAAACCGAATCGCACGAAGGCAAACGTAAGCAAGAATCCCTCTGGCCGATTTTCAAAATACACCATCAGAAGTCTCGCTATATTTACGATCTATTTTATCGAAGAAAAGCGATCAGTCGCGAGCTGTACGAGTATTGCCTTACCGAAAATATCGCCGATAGGAACTTGATTGCCAAATGGAAGAAGCAGGGTTACGAAAATTTGTGCTGTTTACGTTGCATACAGACGCGTGACACGAATTTCGGTACGAATTGCATCTGTAGAGTGCCCAAGGGAAAACTGGAGGAGGTAGGTTGTCCGTGCGGCTAGTCCGCGATTTTAACTGGTTTTTTTTAAGGGTCGTATTGTCGAATGCGTTCACTGCGGATGTAGAGGCTGTTCTGGTTAATGTGGACAATGAGAATTTGTTACTCGTATTAAATTATTTATGTTAAGGATGCGTTACTAATAAACTAATAACCGTGGACATTTGCTGGAGGTCTTCTTTAAGTAGGTACTATTTGTCTGGGCAAATTCAAAAATATTTATTTTGGAAACATGTAGAAGCCAAACTCAGAATTTGTGAATTCAGTTCACAATTTAAATATACTCTTTTACCCATTAGGTGTAAGTCGTCTTTTAAGGATCTCAGCTACGTAAGTATTTATATAAAAAATGTTCTGACTGAGGGCGTGTCCACCCTATAAAAAATTGTATTGCTGGACACATCCACGTTCTTGGAACTTAGTTCATAAGAATCACGTAGTCCAATTGGAAAAATTCAAATGTAAAGGCGCGTTTAGACGGATCCAGTAGCTGGCGCCAGTGTCACTGACCTCCCGGCACTGGCATCATGTGAATTAAATTTTTTTTCGTGCCAGTCCAGTGCTAGCCACCAGCACTGGAGCGAATTGCATCTAATTTTCTTGCCAGTGGCTGCCAACCTCCGTACACCCATGCCAGTGTTTTAGGCAATGTCTGAACACGTTGGCGCCAGTCGATGTCTCGCTGTCATAACCTGTGAAGGCTGATTATTGGCGTATTCTTTATTTTTTTCATAAAATGGCACATAAATTCAGTGGAAAAGAAACTTTTAAACAATTGGCGGGCAAGTTAGACTGGCGCCATCTACTGATGGATACTTCTGAACGTGCCTTTCATAGGTGTCTTTTCCCACTTGAATTGCAGATTTTTACATCTTTGGATTTTTTGCATTGTTGGATCTAGCAGCATGATTCTTTTTTTTTTTGGAATGTGGAACATTGATTTTCTACTGATTCCAATTTCTAGATTTGCAATTTTTTTTAAATTTAAATTTTTTGAACTTAGTTGGATTCAATTACAATTACAAACATGAATTGTTTAAATCCTTGGAATATTTGAAAATTGTTTGATCAGGGATCTAAGTAGTGGCTTTCATTACTTTTTTCTTGAATCTTGGAAATTCAAAGTCTAAGATTTCGAGTTTTTTTAAAAAATCATTGAATATTTTAAAGAGAATCGTGGCCAATCTCAATTCTTTTGTAATTTGAATTTTTTGAACGTTTTGTGACAGGAGAGTGTTCATCCTATTTTTAAATAGAACATCTGTCAATTTTATGCATAACGAATTGCTGTTTTTTGCAATAACCCTGTTGCCAAGTTTAAGATAGATCAAACTTATTATGCTGAAGTTGTGAAAACCGTTGTCATATTCATTATTCATACAGATAAGATACTGATATTTATATTTATTAATCATGCTGTATCAATTGTAAAATTACAGCTTATCTTCATCTGCAATTAACAAAATTTTTTTTCAAGTGGGCTTTAAGCATTGAAATTACTGTTGGAGCACAAAATATAGTGTATTTACTACAGGGCCTTCAGGAGCTTCGTTTTGGTCATTCGCTTTATGCTCATTTACAGAGAAATACAAAAGTTTTATTGAGATCTACTTTCATAATTTAAGTACAAAAATAAGTATACTTATAATCTAAGTATCAAAAAAACCTGAAGAGATTAAATAGGAAATGTAACCTCGGGATTGTAAGGTTTACTCCCTTTAAGAACACTTCCAATACCATCAATTAAATCTTTGTAGACCAAGGGATTTAAATTTTTCCCCATCTGATACACAAGAAAATAATCACCATATGTCAGACGTCTAACGATAGCCTCGGCATGGCTCCTTGATATGTACCGTGCTTGTGCCATTAACAAGTACACTCGAACTTGGGGTACACATATCATCAACACACGGTATATTATAGCGAAAGCCGATAATAGAGTAAGCAAGTAGAACCAAAGCCAAATAAAAATAAATAACTTCTCATTAACAACATTAATAGGCAGAATGCAGAGGGCGTCACGTGTCTCCACGCTGCCACTCGGGCCAAATTTGCCGTAGGTGCACTTGGTCAGCTTGGGGAATACGCGATTCATGGTTTCAAAGGCGTTAGTCGTCAGTAGGCTTAAGCCGTAATCGGAAAACTGATAGCTCAGTAGCCAATCCATCAGCAAAATCTGACCGATCTAAAATTGTTTCGTGCAAGACAAGCCCAAAGTTCCCCGTGCATTACTTACAACGTTGACAAAGTTCAGTATTTCACATGCGGTAAATCGGAGGCAGTACAAATTATGGGAGTACTTGCCAGCAAGTACGTAGCCGACAAGTTTATCCTTAGATTCTCCAGTCCACGACGCCGATACCAGCGGAGAGCCTGCAGAGGAGCCGTTAACAATAACGCAACCCTAGTCACGCTACAAACCTAAATCTTTGACGAGCAAGCGTAACCGTCCACCCTCCCAGGTCTTCCACAGATAACGAGGTGTATAGAATAGTAACGCTTGAAAGCACAGAACAATGCAGATCCACTGGTAGTACTTCTGCGATATTATCACGTCGTCGAGCTCGCTACTTTTCATAATCTCCTTCCAGGCGTTTCCCGCATGTCTCATATCGACGTAATTGCCCAGCCCCGGCCAAATCGATTCTGAAAATGAGAGTTGTACATGGCAAACTTGTGTTAAGTGTGGTACCTGCTACGGTTGATTTAATACGGAACGTTCCGAATATCCAACAGTAGGTGTCAACTACACTTTTTCGATCATGTTCGACATCACAGTTAATTGGATCACCGAAATATTGCTTGGAAGTGATTAGAATGGAGAACACAATCAACATGATCACAGTGAATCTGTAGTGTAACTTGAAGATGTTGTTGTCAGTGTGAATTGTCTCTAATTTAATTAGAGACTTAAATGAATTTAGGAAGTCCAGCATAATTTTCATTCACTTTCACAGGAATAAATCAACGAAATATCTCTTGTTGTTTACTTTAACAATGTGCACGTTTTTTTTACGAAAAAATACAATCATGAGAGATTTGAAATTGTTTGAATTTCCAAGTTGAATTTGCCAACTGAAGGAACTGTCAGTGTTACCACAACTGTCTGACATCAGGGCCGCATTCTGTAAGGGTTTTATCTTACAGGGTGTAAACAGATGGTATGTCATAAATGAAAAGAGTGATTTGAAAGATAAAAGTATGTTAATCAAATTACAATCATCTTTTCTTCAAAAAAAAGAACTTCTCCTCATTTGGAGACAAAAGGAATTGTATCCGTTTCTTTATTTTCAAATTATTATTGTTCGAGTATCAACTGTAATTTTTGATTGAGGACTCCTGCTATTGCAGCTGATTCAGTTAACGAGCTGCGATTGGTGCATCATCTTTGCCACGTAGGCTTTTCAGTCTTCGAATCGTTTCCTTTTCTTCATATTTCACTTTTTAATTAGTAATAGAGTCGTTGTATCCATTTTTGAGAAATTCAATGTCGATTTATCGCATAATATATCAATCTTCGGAGGCACCTTTAAAAAGAATTATGCGGGTCACTCTGTAATTGGGCACAAGCCTGTTGAGGGCCTAGAACAAGAGAGGGAAAATAAATAAATAAATAAATAAATAAATGATCGAAAAGATAGCATTCACCGTGGTTGTTTGGCTGATTGTAGTGTACGTACAGTGCCTCTTCTTTTTGAGAGTTTCAGTAGGAGTGCAACGAAAATTTTCTTATATCTACACCGTGTCCGTGGATTACATCAACGTGTTTTGTCATTCGGACTAATTCCACAGTCCGTTGATTTGCAAAAATTATCGGAACAATTATTGGAAAAGATTGTTTTAGGGTTAAACTATGTAGAAAACAATTGGGAACGCTCTTGTAGTCCCCCAGTTTGAAAGATTTTTTTACATCGGATACGCTTGGTTTCGTTAGTGAAGTGACAACATCCAGTCCAAACCGTAATTTGACTGGACTATTAATACAAGAAGAATAACATGATTAAGACTTTTCAAACAAAACAACACAATACACGCTAGATCCGCCATTACTACAGCTCGGCTCCAATTAGAACACCATCACAAACTAGAAATTTGTCTAAAACTTTTCCATCTCATTCAACAGAAAAGTGCTGGGGCTGATGGGTCTATACGCCTTTGGCAGATCGATTGAGCGTCCTGACTCTTTTGGTATGAAGACCACGTTCACCTCCTTCCACGTTCTGGGTAGGTAAGCTAAACAGAAGATGCCTCTATAGGGCTTACATATAGTTTACAGCATGGGTCCAAGAACCATTTGGAAAAGTGTTGGAAAAACACCCACCAGACCCCTTAAAGGGTTTGAAGGATATTAGGGCCCATTCTGCCCTCTTCTGTGTGAAGATTTTTGGGGTTTCGCTTTTAACTGAGGCCTTAACTGGCCTTGTGTCTCTATCTGTTGAAGAGAAGCCTTTACTTCTTGTGAACCTGGAAAGTGCGCGCTCGTGAGGAGTTTTAATGTTTCCCTGTCGCTCACTGATGTGTATTTCCCAATTCCCAATGCCACTGGGGCAGAGCCGTATCCAGAGGGGGCAAGAGCGGGCTGAGCACGCTCTTGGAACCCACGTTGCCCGCTCTTGAAAGTTACTTGATATGACGCAATATAGCTTGCTCGTAATCATGATCAAATATGAAGAAAAAGCCTTGGAATTATGTGAACTATTAAAATTGGACAATTTCACGTTTGTTGTTTGTATGAATTACTTTCTCTGTACAGGGTGGCCAAATTCGGTTGTTAGTATGGGGTAACACTGAAACTATAAGTACCTAATAGAAAAAAAAGACCTCACAGATCGAAAGGTGTATTTTTTTAAGGTGTTGAAAACCAAACTGGCATACAGTCTTTCATTGTTGAGTTGTGGCCAAAAGTTGCATTTTTCGATTTTTAGATAAAAGCTTATAACGCAGTTGTTTATTTGATTGGAAATGTGTTAATTACAATTTGATTGTTGCATAATCTACCATTTTCAAAATAAGTATACGGGATCAATTAAAAAAGTTATCGGACCTAACCACATTTTTTTTAATGGAACACCCTGTATATTTTAATCTGAACAGACTGCATATCAAATACTCTTATTGATACTACAGCACACCATGGATATTAAAAAAAGATTCAAGCGATTCAAAAAATTTCATCAAAGGTTCAAAAATATTTTTAAATATTAAAAAAGGTTCAAAGGAAAAAAAGAAAAAAATTCACAAACTTTCTTTAACAACTTGTAACAATCACATTTCATATAACTGTATTTACCAAAAACATCGAAGTTATACAGCGGGTGGTGTTGGTGCGGAATACGGCAAATAATTATTTCGCCCGCTCGCTCTTTAGATTTATTCGCCCGCTCTTGGTAATCAATCTGGCTACGGCCCACCACTGGGGTGATCTTCTTGTAGGTGCGATTCTGTTAGTATGGAATTCGATTCCTTCACAGAATTTGCGCCAAGTCCTTCCCTTGAACCTTCTGATCGCGGAATTGTACTCCACTAAGGCGCTTCTGTACTCTTCTCAGTTTCTTCGTGCCTCTGTTGTTTGGCTTTGTTAAATAGTTTTCTGAATTATTTAACCTGATGTTTTTCCAGTTCCTCACTGCACAAGGGAACGTTCCTTGTCAACCCTTTAGTTTTTGCGGGGCAGGTCCTCTCAGGCCCATTAAGTAGGTGCCTTTGTAGATCACTTGAGGCGACTTCCAGTTCCTCTTTTGTGTCTACCTTTTCGGCGATCTCATCAACTTCAGACATGCCAGTTAGTTATGTTTGCCCCAATGAGCGGAGTTGAGAGAGTAATATCTACAGCTCCTGTCTAATTTTGTTGGCAAAGGTAGCTTTTTGTCCCCGTTCGCTATTTCAAGTGACGTTGAATTGGTATACTCAATTAGCCATTCACCCCTCTTGTTTGTGTCTGTGCTGCGCTGTGGTGCGCGTTGGCATCGCAGCCCATGACTAGGTTTACGTTGCCCCGCTTACAGTATTCTACTAGGTGCTGACTTTTGGGCTTTGTGTGCCTGGCTCTCATCTGGTTGCCCTCTCCAACGCCTTTGGGAGTGGCGCTACTAGCCTTAGAGGGCTCCTTTAGGTTTGATTGCCACTTGTCCAAACCGGAAAATGGCTCTTAGGCCTTTCTGCCCCAGTAACCTTAGCCAGGGTTGGTGCACTATCATCGTTAGATAAACAAGAGCACTCTCCTGATCTCTCTTCGACACTCGCAATTTCTTGGTGTTGAAGCCGGTGTTCTACTGCTTCTGCAACAACACAAGGATGCGCTCCGTGATTTCATTGGTGCTGCCAGCAAAGTAGGCGTTTACAATAGTCGCCTTTGGAATCTCTTTTCCATCGACAGATCTTAGGATAGCTTGATGTTTGGCAGCACTCCTTTGAGCCATTCTGCGGTTGTCCCATAAGCGCAGTTGACCAGCAACCGGCCAGGTTTGAACGTAGAACCTAGGAAATGAGGACTCACTTTTCTCTTTTCAGGGTTCTAATAGTTTGAAGGATTCCCTCCTGAAGCGGTTTAAGCTCTTCTGTGGGGAGGTTTCCCTCCGGGTGCCTGACATGCAGTATACCAACCGGTTTACTCTCTGCAGCTTGTTTATAGATTGTAAAGGGATGGACAGGGTTCGCTGGAACCGTACTCTCACTTGGACCTATTGTCTCCCTGGGCAACCTCGGGTGTGGCATCGTCGGACCGGGATCTTTTTCTCCCTTTGTCCGAGTTACCTTACTCAAGGCGGCACATGTTGCTGGACGGCTTGCTCGGCTATTTGTGCCGGTTCTACATCGTGTTGCCTCAGGCAACGGTACAGTTTCCTTGCAGCACCGCTCATCTTTGTTAAGCCGGGATTTTGACCATAGCCTCTGCCTTTTGCGGAGCACTAAGTGGGTCCGTGTGAGGCCGAGCGGCCTCAGGTCCCATGGTTGGTGCGTTTAGAGAGGCACCACCCCAGGCCCGTAGCCAGGGGGTGACCGTGGTCTTGCCCCCACTGGAAATTACGGTTGACGGTTCCTTTACAAAAATTACAAGGGAAGTCTTTTTCAAAAACTTCTTAAGCCCCACCTAGGAAAATGCCGGCCACCCCTGCTACTTCATTTTGGCTACGGGCCTGCACAACCCTCTGCTATTTTATCGGGTTCTTCCATGCGAATATCACGAAAATTGGAGAAGAGTCGGTCAGAGATCCATACGGTAGGAAAGATGTTCCCCTGGATTCCAGACTTCGCCTTGGGGTTAGATTTTTTCTGCCTTTATTGTTGAGAGAGCTGGGTTTCAGCCAAGGCTGCAAGCCATGCACGAACCCGGTTGGATATTCAATGGTACCACAGTCCAGCTTTAAATGAACTGCACTACACTGGCCGACAACCTAACTGAGGTTGACTCTTCTTGGTGCGGACATTTAAGCCAAGACCCCCCACATCTTCAGGTCCGTGAGACATGATCACAGAGGACCTTTTGATGCATGGTTTCCCGTCATGGCTGGCTGGCCCTTCTGCCTCGTGCAAAGTCCTTGGCCACGGCAGGACAGCCGGACGAGGTAGTTGGATGCCTCTAACAGCTTGGTCTGTGAGCATCCCATTTTCGCATTAACCTTGTGTCTCACACGATCATTCACAGGGCCATCCCCCTATCCTCCACCTGGGGACATGCCCGGTAGGGAGCTACCCTCCACATAAAGGATGAGTAACGGGAAATAGTAGGTTAGCCACTTCCGGCTAGAGCAGCTGCTAGGAGTATTTCAAAGGAGTAGCAAGATGTAGGTTCATTATGAGAAATTTTATCAACTTTTTCGGTAGCATTTGATGTTGGCGGGAGATTACACTTGGTTGCCTCCCTGCCGCTCATGTTGACAGGATGAACAATCTTAATTTTCTACAATTTTAAACGGCATGTGGAGAGATCCGACGATTTTATTTGGTGATTAAAGTTGTACACATCAAGGTCGGTAGGTTTATCTTTGCATATCAGCTCAGCTTGTTTTGGGTTAGTGCCATTCAACTCTGGACTATGCATTGTGTCCAAGGAGGGCCACTATGGGCATTCAATTTTTTTAGACTTTTTACAATAAAACCTATAACAAAATTAAACTTTCTCTTCTTTTCTTTAAAGTCCACGATATCCACTCCTCACCTCCCCTGTCTTTCATCCAACAGTTCTACTTCTGCGTTCTAATCACTTTTTCTGATTTCCGAACGGTTGTAGAATTATGCACAGGTGCACCATCCTGCATCCAACAGTTGATGGTCATTGTGACGTTGATTAAGTTGTCACTGTTTATATTTCAAACTACATTTAGATGACAATAATGAGTTACAAACAAATAATGACATTGAAATTTTTAATAGAATTATTTTTGAAATAATCCTTGAAGAGGAGTTATCCAATTAACTAACTTATTTTAATTCTAGTGTAATCAGGTTATTCTTGTTGAATATCTACACTCCAAGTGGTTGCATTCACGTATCTTTCACCACTAATGGTCACTGTATGGTACATCTGGTGTCTTGATAAGGAACTGATGTTAATAGCGCAAGATTAACGTGCATGTAAAGTTAAATTAAGAATTCCCATAACTTGAAATTCTTAACAGTGTCTAAAAGATATTCTTCCTCGTTCATACTAAAACAATGTTATAAAAGCAAATAGGGTGCATGGTTTAACTGGGCCACAGTACCAGCCCATTTACGTTGGATCTGTGGTTTAGATACCTCACCTTCTACCTTGCATCTGAGATAACCGCACCATATCTTCTCGTCCACGTGCATTTCAAAAATGCACACAGAAGGTTGCAGGTTATAGTAATGAATATGTAATAGTAAAAAATAGCCCAAATGAGAAAACATCGATTGGGCACAAAAGGAATCGTTGGGATATGCGCTTGGAAAATCCGTTGAGGAATAAATAATGGCGCATGGTGAAACTAAGAACAGATTAACCTTGTCATTGTTCCAAAGCACCATCGTATATATATAGTAACGGGAAAAAAACGTGTTTATCACATAGCCTTTGACTTCCACATCGGAATCATAAAAAAAATGTTTTAGTTTAACTGTGTACTTAAAAAGTAGTTATTCGATATCAAACGTTCAATATATTTACCAACATAACAGTCACAACAAGCACGGTGTGCATTAGTGTATAAACCTGCTAGTCATAGGTTCCAATTGTTAGCATGAATCTGAAGAATAACATGTAAAGGAATTAAATTAAAAAAGCAAGTTTCATTGTATTTTTTCAGAGAAAATGGTTCAATGCAGAGTGATGTCTATTTAACAAATCAACAAAGGGAGTTTTACAAATATAATGGTTACCTTCTCATCCGCAATTTAGTAGATACTGGGCTCTTAGATGATTGCATGTAAGACTTTCAGCCATCTTGTTTAGTTTTGTTTTTTTTTATAATGAAAACGAGTGCCGATCGGCGGTTTGCTGTCACTGTAAACTCAACATCTCAGAATCTACAGCTTTCCGTAAAGACCATGTGGACAAAAGAAAAAACCATCCTGTATGGGGTTGTTGCGATCGATCAAATGCCTTATTTCAAATGATATTCTTTATTATTGATTTCTTTCATAGGAGCTAAAAGATTAGATTTGTTGCCCTCGCGAATAAGGGCATAGGTAATGGACCTGAAGCGTACTAACAGCCAGTAATCGGGTTTATATCTTCTTATGACCACTCCAATGAAACAGTACATACGTTGGAGAGGTGAGGACACTAAGAACTGCAACTGAATGCTTTCAAAAAAGAAAAATTTTTGCTAAATGAGTGGTCAAAAAGGGCGTATGATACGCTGGCCAGATTCGCGTAGCGTTTATAACGTGCCTCGATTCAATGCACTGGCTGGCAGTTCCTGGCATTTCCACGAATCACAACCTGTTTCCATTACCATCTTCCATTTCAGTTCTCGCTTCTTCCCACCTTGTTTTGGCAATCCCTTTTCTCTTTCTCGCCTGCCTTTCATATTCTCCCAATTTTGTTTGGTATATCGTTCTTCTTTGCTCGTTTTCGTCTTGCATTATGTTCGTTTTCTCCGCCCCTCCTTGTGTTCTTCTGGCACTTTCTACCTTTCTCCTTTTACACTTCTTGTCGTTCTCTTGTTTTCTTCTTGTCTTTTTCACGATTTCTTCTAGCATTGTCTACTCCTCTTTTTGTGCATTCTTTTCCGCTCGTCTTATTCTACATTTTCTTCTTAACTTTTTCACATATATTCTTTTTTTTCTCGTCTTCTATTCTTCTCCCGCCTTTGTTTCCGTTTTTTATCTTTTTCATGATTTTCAGAATTTTCAGAATTTCCACCTTAAAAACTTTCAGGATCTTTTAAAACCATCACACCTTCAAGAACGTTTTAAGTTTCAATGGAATATACCGTTTTCCTTCAGTTTCCTACCGATCTTGCTTCTATCTTCTTTTCTTAACATTACCGTCTTCTTGTAGTTTGCTTTTCGTTTCTTTCGGATCTTCTTCTCGCCTTATTCGTATTTTTCCCCTTATTTTACCATCTTCTAGTCTTTTCTTCGCCTTCAATCGGTTTGTTCCTGTTTTTTACTATTTACCTTTTCTGCTCTTCGGGATATTCCTTCAAGATCCATAACATTATGTGTCCGTCTTCTTACCGTTTTCGTATAACCTTGTTTTGTCATGGCCTGCTTCTCGTTTCCTACAGTGCTTTTAACTTGTCTTCTTGGTCTTTTCTGTTCGTGTTGTTCTTGTGTTCTCCTCGTCTCCTTCCTCATCGTTTTACCATTTTCTTCTAGTTTTCTTCTGGTGTTCTTATCACCTTGTTCCAAATATCTAACCTTCTCATTTAAGTAATCGACCATATGACCGAAAATGCTTTTTTTTGTCATCAAACTTCTTGCGTAATTACGCTGGTCCAAATATTCGTAAATGATCAGATCAATTGATCATCGAAAACGATCCTATAATCTCGGTTTCTGTTTTCAGGCAGCGTTTTCGCGATATTTGCAATGACAAAGTGGACAGCAGATACATGCTAAAAATGGAGAACATTTTTTTAAAAACGAAACATAGGCGAGGCGAGTTTTTGATAAACAAGGTAAAAGAGCTTAAGAGACGATTTCGCTATATCAAACCTTGCAGATACAAGACTTTAATTACGACGATGTACTTTTTCAATATGCGAGCTACAAAGCAATTTTGAACATCGTGGAAGGTATCCTGGGTGCAACAAACGTGACATGTTTCCACTCAATGGTCGTCAGCAAACCGCCAAACACTGAAGTAGACTCCTCCAACTATTCGGTACTTCAGGTCGCTTTACGAGTGGCTAAACAAAAGTGTTTTAGGATATATTCGTCTGCCCCATTCGACCTATCAATTCCACTGTTGGAGTTTGGACCGCTATGGAAAAGTCTAACCAGAAGAATGGTTGCCTATACGTAGTGCCTGGATCTCATAAAACACCAGTAATGCTGACTTCGGTAATTAGAGCTTGTCTTAATAGTTTCCCTTTCAGAACTCATTCAATAGTGTGGAAGGCTTTGAGAACCTTTACACTCTTAAATTGGCACTGGAAAAGGGCGATACGGTATTTTTTCATCCTTCACTGGTTCATGGATCCAGACCAAATCTTACCGATGTAATTCCAAATACCAGGGAAGTATAAATTACAACGCGTGCGACTTTTTCAGGGATTTTGCAAGTCGATTTCCGCTCATTACGCGGATAGCAACTGTCATTTTGTCAACGTGGGTGATGATATCGAAAACGAGATAAGGCGCATACTCAAACACAATGGTTTTCCCTCGGTGTCATTTAAGGTACCTACTACTTGCTGATGGAGTTGCTGATTTAGATGCATCGTATTTTACAGGTGTTTTGCCAGTTCAAAAGTCGTATTGTTCACGGTGAACCAGGAAATTTTCAACGTCTTGATGGAAACTTATAATTAGGATTGGTGATAAGAAGGTAACTAAAACAAGAGTTCGAGTTTTTGATTTTTGCCTTTTTGGAGATTATTTTAGAAATAGTTTTATTGTGTGACTAGGATTGTAACCAGTTATCATTGTTGGACAACAACTGAAAAAAAGACATCAAGCACAGTTTGAACAGAACTACTTTATTAAATTAATTCGATCTATGGTACCAATAAACACATTTAACAAAACAAATTTTTCTTAATGAACACAATTAAAGGTTTGGTACGTTTGTTCTCCCATAATAGTTAGCCAATGTATATTCGGAATTAATTTCCTGAATTTTGTCTATGAAGTGTTCCATCTTGAGTTGAATGATAAAGTAATAAATAATAATTATTATTATTTAATTTTCTGAGTACAGCTCGAAAACGAAGTTCAATTCTGAAATAGTGAACAAATGCGTTTGAAATTTTTTTTAACAAAACGAACGACTTTGATATCCTTTTGTCACAATTCCCGAAGTACCTATACCGATTTTGTAGTTCAATGGTAGAGCGTTGGACTATAAAGCTGGAGGTCGGGTGTTCCAACCTGGGCTGAGGTAAGAATTTTTCATCTCCGACAGAGATGGGAATTTCCTTAAATCAGTTTCGAGCATTCTGCCGGCTACTCCGTATTGTTCTAGAATCCTGAATTTGTTTGCAATAAGTAAAGGTAAAGCTTTTTCTGCAGATAGTATGTGCCGAGGAATGTGCTCAACTAATCTTAATTTCATCTCGAATTTTAAGCGCCCTCGGGAGGTGTACACACCTCCCGAGGGCGATGAAATCTGAATCGTTCCTTTCCCTGTGCTCGTGGAACTCGTCCAACCGGCCTGAATAAATAGTCGCATACTTGCTGGCTTTATTGTCAATCTACCATCCTCATGAGCCTGTCTCTATTTAAAAAAGATCTCCACTATTCTCCGCGTTGCTTTCAGCCGCATTCTTCGGTGGTCTTCAACCAGCAATTCATTTCTCACATACAGCAACCCAATGCTTTTTTTCTTACAATAAAGCATATGCCACTTTTTCTTACCTGTGCGACAGTGACGGGTTTTATCAACTTTTCAACACATCTCGCATCGTCGCTTCGGCATCTCAGTTTTAGAAGTAAAATGCTTCAAAGGCATGACTTCACAACAAACTCCTCTTCTCTTTTATTCATTGCTCTAGTCAAATGACGGAAGCTGGAACCCATAACCTGTTGCGCTAATTTTGTGACGCGAGCTAAGATGGCGCTGCTTTTTCTCAAATCCGCCGCATAAACGTTGAGCGCTACCAACTTTCTTTAAATGATTGTAGTTTCCTCGTATGAAACTGGGAAGTATTGAAGGAAAGGGATAAAATACTAAGTATAGTTGCAATTTCCCGCAATAGAATAATCGTGAAATTCACAAAATTTCAACAATAATTAACTTGAAACTTGAAACTTTGACATATGCCTGGCGTCGCCGCCTCTCCCAGGATTTAGTCAACTGTCGTGAGGATGCGTCCCTGGTAGGCACTATCAGGGACGTTTCACCACTACTTTGTTGCCATCGCGCTGGGCCGCGACATATGCCAAACAATGTGGTGGAGTTTGTGGATTGGGGGGGTTGTGGGGGGGCGGCTAACTGGGTGTTATCCGACCCGAACGGGTACGGCCACAGCTTCGCCACTGGTATTCTGCCTTAGAGGGAACTCTGCTTTCTAGTGATAGCTTCTTCTCCGGGCGTTCATTGGCTTCCGATGTTCCTATCCTTTGGTCTCGTTCCCTTCCCTGTTTTCCCTCGTGTTAGGCTCTTTTTATTGTTGTCCTCTCCCCGCATTACTTTCTGTCCCCTTTTCCTCCTCCCCTTGGCTACTTGTCCTTGTGGCTGATTCTTCCTCCACCTCCAGTATTCTTCTGCTTTCTTTCTTCCTTTGATGTTTGTCTCTGCTATTCTCTTCCCATCTTCCCATGGTAATCCCCGAGACCTCTACCGTTTGGTTTATGGTGGTGTTCCATGTTTGGCAGGGTCGGCCTACCTTCCATTCCGAGGCACATAGAATCTTAGCAGCCCGAATGATATGGTCTTTGTTCCTCCTGTTGATACGAGTATGTCCCCAGTATCTCATCTACCTCATCTTCAGTCTCCTGGCAATCGTCTTTTCCTCTAATAGTTCTCTTCTCTGCTCTCTTGTGAGGTTGCTGTTTTCTTCAGTATCCTGAGTGCCTTCCACTCCGCCCTCCTCAATGTTCGTCTGTTGCTCTTTGTTGGCGCTGAAGTGCTAATTCCGTATAAGATTGTCGGTGCTACGATCGTGTTGTAAATCATCATTTCAAGCTGTCCGGTATTTTCTTCGCTCGTATGAAGTTCCAGATTCCGTGTGTGATTCTGAATGCGTTGGTTATTCTGTCATTCACTGCGTTGTGCCTGCTGAGGGTGCTGCTTATGTACATACGTTCCCATATATTTGATCTTGTGCTTCACGGTTATCTCCTTCACGGCTATGGTCTTCTCTCCTTCTTTGTACTGGGGGTGTTGTTTGCTGGCACTCTTGTCATCATGTAGCTCTTTTCGTTGTATATTTGTAGGTCCACCATTTCCGGGTGTACCTAGTATCCCGATGGCCTGGACGAAGTCCTCAGTGTCTTATAAATTATCCGCGATTACGAGTAGATCGTCCGCGTACGCCAGTAATGTCGGTAGTTGTAATTGGTCGCCTATGCTAAGGTTCCTCACAACCATCCTTGTTTGTTCTATAGCGTGGTCTAGTGCTATCGCGAAGAGCCTTGGGGAAACGGACATCCTTGTTTGATCCCCCTGGTTTTCTTTTGGTGTTCTTCCAAAACCATTGTATACTAGTATACTCCCTTTGCCACGCGTGTATGGTTCTGTGGATTAGGGATTTGGGTAGTCCCAGCATCGCCCACGCTGTCATTGGTATATATTTTCTGTTTCCCCCTTGTTTCCTCCTTTTATATTTTCTGATGTGCCTATACCATTACATTTCCGTATTCCTCTCCATTGGTCTGAGTTTGGTGATGTTCTCGGCGAATTCCTTGATTTCGTGTTGCTCATAGGCTCTGTTTTCTTCTTCCTTAGCTTCCCTTAGCTTCTTCTTTGTTTCAGGTTAGTTTGGGTTTTGGCCCGCTTTCTGTTCGGTCACATGGGCGGTTTCTGTTTCCCTAGTGTTTTCCTTGTTGCTTCTTTGATCGTTTCGCCGATCTTTTTCCATATGGTATCCCATCCCCTTTTTGCTTCTAATCTTTTACCACTGATTTCGGTACTCCTTTCTTTTCTTCTCCCCTGACAGAAGTTTCACATTCCGCCCTTCGGTTTCCCCGTTGTGCTCCTTGTCCTTTCCTTCCTGCTCTCTTCTTCCCCTCCCCCCTCTTTACTTTCCCCTTTACCATTTTGTGGTCCGATCCTACTATTTTTGCCCATATGTCTGCTGTGTTCGTGACGCTTATTTCCTTTGATTACATGTTACCATTTTGGACTTGCCGAATATGTTTTCTACCCTCAGTCCATGTAGGTGTACCATGTTCCTAAAGGTCGCTGCCGTTCCCTTCCTCCTATTCACTTCCGTCCAGTCTGCCTAGTTGTGCATTGAAGTCGCCTAGTATGATACCCAGGTTCTTTTCGCACTTTTTTTGTTGTTTCATTTCGATTTCTGAGTTCCGCCTGCCCTCTTTTGTCCGAGGGGATGTGGCATCCTATGATTGTTAGTCTTCTTATGTTCATCTTGATTTGGGCCATGGATATACTCTTGCTTTTCCTTCAGATTTCTCCACCTCAATGCATCGGTGCTTCTTGATTACGATTTCCGCAACCCTGCTGGTTCTCTCCTTCTTCCCTCCACGTATCCGTCTACGTCTCCTATCAATTGTGGGTAGAAATTTTCCAGGTTTTCCCTGATGTATGCGTTGATTCCTTTTTTAATTATTTGGTAACTTGTTACAAAATTAAACTTTACAACTCTGTTTCATTCATGATCTATTATTAACGAGCTCCTAGGGAGTTTATAATTTTGCGGTGTCTGTCCGTCTGTCGGTTAGCACGATATCTCGATAACGAATGAACCGATTACGATGAAATTTTGTAGATGGATTCTTTATCAAATTTGTAGATCAGAGTTCGTGAATTGGCAATATATCCTACACAATTAGGAAGGCCCTTTTGACATCTCTGTGAATTATGAACCGAATTGCAAGAAATTCATTACGCAAATAGCTTTAGCCATATAAAAAGTGAGAATCTAACAAAACGTCCGCTTCATCTCTAAAAATACGCCTCAAAAAGGAAAATCGACAATCACGGCCCTACATAGTTTAACATACAAACTGGAAAAGATGCCTGAGCAGTATTTGTCTGGGAGACCTTGACATTTTTTCAGTGTAAAAATGTCTACTTGACGAATTTCCGCAGGAAAACAAATTTACAAAAATTTATCTCTAAACCAAACGCTCCCGTTACACTGGTCATTTTTTTAAACCCCAAATGATTCCGTTCTTGCGGTTGAAAACCTCGTATTGAAGAAGACTGGCATAACTGTTTTAATGATTGGTTGTATCGACTGCATAAATGTGTTAAGTCAACATGAGACTTTTGAAAAACAATAAAATAAGTCTTTCTGATGTCTGAGTTAAACCGGAATGGCTCCCTTCAAGTTGTTATTTGAACGGGTCGCCGGGGTCGAGTGCGGGGATATAAAAGATTCACTGATCGTAGTCGGTTTATTAATTTGTCAAAAATCGGGTGTTATTGTCGTAATCGGGAAGTGTCGTAATTTGGTAGTGTTCTAAATATAAAAGTCGAATATCAGCACATGCCTTAGATGAAAACATCACTTAACTTAAGTACGAACCTAAATTACAAAGTACTATGAACTTACCTAAATATAAAAGTCGAACTCCACAAGGTGTCTTAATTATTACAATTAAGTTCGCTAAGCTGGACTATGCTCGCCTTATTCTAGAATTGTACATGAAAATTTCCAAATAACAAGGACATCACAAAAATGAGATAATGATGACCACCTGTAGAAACATATTTGAATTTGAATTATTACTGATTATTGATAATTATTGTTAATATATATATAGCAGCGCCATCTGTTGAGGTAATACAGACATTAAAGTTTATTTTAGACAGATTTCTATTTTATTTGAAATTACGTTTATGTGTTTCGCTATAGAGTAGTTTTTGTCGTAGTGTGCAGAAATTTTCGAAACAACCTACGTATAGAAAGGACGCTCGCGTAGTTTATTTACCACTTCTGATTCATCAGAATTGTTAGATTCTTATATTTTATGTTATACTTCATAGTGACATTTTCCTGCAACAAGAAGCCTCAGCAATGCCCTACTGCATACAACTTTAATTAACGTTTCCAACAAATACACAGTACAAGAATATACTGTGAATTCACTACTTTAACACCTCAATTACCTATTGTTGACTCTAAGACACGAATACGTCAATAAACCCGGTGTACACAACGTTTTCTACAAGGAATTGAAGTGCTATAATAGCTTGTAACTTTTTTGATACTGCAGGAAACTTTCCGATTTCCCTATTCTTGCTTCACACGTACACAACTATTTCAACTGCATAAATACAAGTTATTGCATTTGGATCTCGCGAAAAGTTTGCATTGCCCGCATGAGAATAGCCATGAGAGACGGGATAAAAATTTTTAAGTGGATCCGATACAGGCTCATGAAAATTGCAACGACCGATAAGGAGATGCTTTCAAGGAAACAGCGCATACAACTGAATTTACGATAGGCGTCAGTCGTCGTTATGACTACCGGCATTTGGGAAAGAGCGCCGCAACGCCGATCAAACGTTTAGTTCGCATGTGGCCGTTACTGCCAGAACTCCCTTACATCTCCCCGTTTAAACGAGAGAACGTTCGTCCTTAAAAAAGATCTAAGACAGTTGCGATTGTCACCTGTTCGCGCTTGATAATTTTGCGTTGTGAGACTGTCAGTGAGTTAACCGTTAAGAAGTTTCGGGAGAAGGGTGAGTACTTCCTTTTTGATCGAGTGCCGTAACGTCTAGGAACAATCCGCGGAATTACCATAATATTTTTGACGTTATCAATTTTGAAAGTTTCGACGGATGCGAGTTCTTCTATTAGTCGGAAGTAACTTTGTGGCATCGTCTCCCTTGGAAACTTCGCGGAATGATAAAGGGAAACCTTTTGTCTTGTTGAATTTCAGTTTAAATTTTGAGCGACGTTTTCCCAAATTTAGTTTTCGCTGCAAACTGTACTTCATACACTGACACGAGTCAGACTTAATTCCTGCGGGTTCAAAACAAATCTTATACATAATTTAATGCGTCCTATATCTGCGTGCCCCTAGTTTACTTATTATTGCAGGTGTATAAATATTATGAAATGAGGAAAAGCGTTGAAGATATTATACGTACTGCGATGGTACAAATCCATACGACGAGAAATGAGATTCGATTAAACATCGGTCACTGAGCATCCTTTATGAATTGTTGATATCTATTTACAATTTCAAGTGTACTACTGCTGTAACTACAGGGTCGAACCGAATTTAATTAAACATTGATAATGCGACTTCTGAGACCAGTTGCGTCAAAATTAACCAAACAAAAACAACACGACACTCGCCCATCACATGACAAAATAGTATAGGCCCTAAGAATAATCGTATTAGTAGTGCCCACTTCAATATCTCGGAGTATTCATTCCACATGTGAATTATTTTGCAAATTCTGCAGCTTAGAAATCAAGGACACATCGTTTAAGTTTTCTATGAAAATATTATTTTTAACCATAACTTGTTTTAATCCTGAAAATTCTGATCGTTTTGAATGATGCAAGACAAAATCTACACAATTTTCTTTCTTACGGAGTGTTTTTTATAAATTTTTATAAGTAGCGATCATGTTCAAGTTAAGTCTCGGTAGCAAAAACGTTCTATAAAACGATCGCTGCAAAGTTCTTTACAAGTAAATCTCCTGCTAACCACAAATTATGCGAAAATGGCTACTTTCTAACCGTAAATTACAAATATCGTTATTCATATGTGTGTCCTATGCACCGGTAAGTTTTGAAAAATCTGTGGCTATTCTTCGACATGTTGCGCAAAATTTATCTCAAGTGTCAGAAAAATCTAAAGAAAAGGAAAAATAGAGCAATCGAAAGAATTTGATGGATGTGTAGGACTCACAGAAATGAGGCTAAAGTGTCCCAAGGAGTAAACTTGAAAATTTAAGTAGTTCTGAAGGAACCGAAGCAACTGATGCATTGGAATAATCCGAATGTAGAAGAAATAAAAGACAGGTTTCACATATTAGGTAAGGATTATGTTTATTTAAGCAGAGCCTGAAAATACTTGGCATAAAAGGCAATCATTTTGTGAAAAAATATAGTGCCCAAGCATTTAGAAACAAGATACGAAGAATCGCATACAATTTTCAGTACGGGAATTTTTTTGTCACTTAGCTCGTATTCGGTAACACGACGTTTAATCCGGCTCATATTCATTTCATTAATTTCATTTCAATTTTAGCTGAAACGGGCTCAATGAAGAGTCTGTATGCACAACTTTTCATAAATCTATTCGTATCAGTTTGCCATACAACGACTCGGATCGTTGATGGATACACTGTGAAAGCAAATATTTACAAAACTTCTTTCCGATTTGATCCAAAGACGATGGACACTTTGATTCATATTTGAAGACAAATTATGGCATTTTCTGGCAATTTAAAGGCCTTTCTTGAGCTAAATTTGGGGATACCTATTTTGTCCAGCTGTCGTTTCTAAAAATAAAGCGCGACGATTTCCAAATTTGAAAATCACAGCCGATGTGATGTTTATAAAGAAGTTACCGGATCTAACCTCATTTTTTTTTAATCGAACACCCCATACCTATAGGTATATTATCATCTCAAAAGATAGCATGTGAAATTCTTTCTTAAAAAATATAACACACCTGAGATAATATCCAAAAAAGAGTAAAGCGATTCAAAAAAATTCAAAAAAGATTCAAAAAGATTACAAAAGGATTTAACACAATTAAAAAAAGAAGGTTCAAATGATTAAAAAAACTATCAAAGTCCTCGTGTGAGATCGAAGGGACTTCAGCACATTTTTGTGTAATAGATCAGTACTTATTCTATTACCCAGTTTTGACTTTACAATCAATAAGATCTTGTCGAAGGCTACCACATTATTTCCTGTGTTGATACCCGCTTCCGACGTCCCATGCATCCACAATTCGCATTTTGGGAGATTTCGCTAAAAACCCCTCATAGCTCGAGCTTCTATTACCGACACACAAAAGAGAGACCGCTATTAGAGCGCTAAGAAACTTTTGGGGGCCCAAAGTCGACTACCCCTTGAAGACGAGCGCGTTGCAACTTGGTTAATATCGCCGCTAGGACAAAAAACATTCCGCTGGTTTACAAGACCTTTCCAACGACAGCAATTTGAAAACAATCGGACCAAAAATGTAGAAGAAGATTGGAAAAAACTGAAAAATCAAATCTCCAGGATAGTATAACACACTCGGTGATAGCGCCCAGGTTGCGCCGACCCCACATCTTGTAAACCCGTCCCTAAAGTTAGTAATTACACGGCCACGGTAGGTACATTTCACTCCTCGTCTTTCTACAAGCGTTCTTCTACGGGCCCGCATTTACTGTCAGCCAGCAAGCCAGCCAAAGTGAGATTAAAAGCTAACATTTTACAAATAAATTTGCAAAAATGCGTTAAAAAATACAACAAATTTCAAACAGATTTTTGAATTTCTTAAACATCTTTTTTGTATCTTTTAAAATCAATATTGAATTTGTTTAAATTTTTCAGTGATATATTTTTGACTTGATTAAAATACACAGTATGTTCCATTTAAAACTAAGGTTAGGTCCAATAACTTTTTTACCTGACCCGGTATCTTTATTTTGAATATGGTAGATTATTCAAAAATCCTTTTCAAGAGACTTTTTATTTCCCCCCTCTCCCATAAGCGAGCGAATATTTTTAACCATTTTTTTTACCATTTTTGACACAAAAACGACGATTATATTACTTTCTTTATAGCACTAAGAATTACGGAGATGCCTTATAAAGACGTCGAATAGGGGAAAGAGTTACGGGCAACCTAAAATCTATTAAAATAGCGGTTTGGTGTTGCTTTTTGTATTATCACAAATGAGAGGCATCTTCACTACGTAACTAGTTTTTCTAGTGTGTCGACTATAATAGTTTTACGGCTTCGAAGACAGAGTTCAGCATCCTCTTTAGTTTTACCGTTTCACGGACAGCAAAGAACTACACTGTATTTTTAGCAACAGCTTTTTATGGTAACGAAAAGGTATTGGCGCGCTTAATTAGTCGGTCCTCGACAGCGTACGGCTGTTTTTCCTAAAGAACTCGTTTTACACTACTTTAGCGGTTAATTACTTTCCCTTATTTCGCGATAATCCGTATTTTCAAGGTTTCTCTTTTAATGTGACTTACGGAACTCGTTGTTAATTTTATGCTCCAATGAAAACTAAGATACCCATAATCACCATTTGGTTTTTTTTTACACTCGAAGCTCTTTGAAAACGACTTTACTTTTTTTCTTGTTACGTACTGTTTGGCCGAATGATCCCCAAAATCTCCCCGTAATGAGCCCTACTATCCTTTCTGATTAACTACCATCCACAAAATAGCTTCTTATCAATGAAACATGCCAATATTTACTGTTTGACTCGTTTACTTCGCTTCTGCACTGTAGTTGGTACTTACATGCGACGGCCCACACGAATTCAAAAGAATGCAAACTTGATTTTTTGGATGGCGTTTTTGAATACGAAATAACTGCTGTTATCATCGCCAATCTGAAGCCTCACTTCCTAAAAGCATTACGAGAAACAATACTTATAGTACCCCATGGAATTAAAATGATGGGAACAAGACAATTGTCAATTCCACCAAGTACACTTTAAGACGATTTTTTAAATTCCATCAAAAATAATTGATTGGAAAATTCTACCCTCTAATCTTCTGCACCCTGTGGAGTATCGATGGTACTTGTTTAACCCCTACTATCTCAGAAATATCAACTTTTCATATCTCTATCTTAGAGCTAGCGTTACAGAAAACAGCGCCGTGAATATGAGGGTTCTTGTTCACAAGCAAAAATAAAGCAAAATGGAAAAGTAGTAAAAGTAATTCGGATAGGCGCCACTTGGTCTTCAGCAATTGTCAAAAGAGAGAGGAGAATACTTTCCAAAAAGAAGAAACAAGGCAGACTAAAAATCCTTGTTCTGGTTCTGAAAAGCTAAGGGAATGAAATACTTGATAGAGCTGGAACATAAACAATAATTAACGTAACAATCGATAGCGATTTAATCAAATGATCTCGTAACAACGGAATCAACACGTAGTCGGAGAAAGTATTAATATCAAAACAGGCGTCGGTAGAAATAACGGAGTTATTATCGTTAAGTGAATCTCAAGCAAATGCAATAATTACAATTCGATTGTATCGAAAACCAATATGTAATCAAACGGTAAATCGACGAAAATAACAAAAATTTCTTTTGAATTCTGGTCATAGCCGCCGTCTCAATTCAGAAGGGCGCGTTCTGCAAATCTGCAACACATAATAACACAACGAAACAAATAAAGGGGTAGTGAATCGCGTTGCATGTACAGTATTGCAAATAACAATACCAACGTATGACACTAGGTAAATTGTACACTAAAACTGTAATTAATACTGAAAAAGAATCAATAATTTGAATGACTACACTAGCAAAAGCAAAATTTGGTAGACTACGACTAATTTTTTCAATAGTAATGCAATCTAATCAATTCCAAAGATAAACAAAAAAAATCTATCTACTTTCGATACTTATGGTTTTGGATCTGTTGATGAGAGTATGGCTATACCTACTTTTTAGAAAATTGTATTTTTAGCGTAACACAACGAAGTTGAGGTAAAGCTTATGTGCTCGTGTTTCCGTCCGTCCGTCCGTCCGTTCCATCG